TGTTTGTGTGTATATAATGAATGCAGTGTGTGTGTTTGTGTAGTGTGTATGTAGTGAATGCAGAATGTGTGTGTGTGTGTGTGAAGGGATGTAATTTGTGTAAAATGGGCAGGAGAGGAGGCATTTTTTTATTTTAATAAGGTTTCATTATTTTTTTTTTAGTCCCTCCTCCCTGCTTGTTACTTGGCCAGGGAGGGGGCTATGGCATTCCCTGGTGGTCCAGTGGCATGTACTGAGCAGTGGGGGGGCCGGCAGCAAGCTGTTACTTACCTTCCAAGCAGCTCCTCCAGCTCCCCAGGGTAAATCTCACAGTCTGCGTGCTGTGGTAACCCGTGGCAATGCTCTGACGGCCGCGGTACTCGCAAGATTTACACCGGTAGCTGCTGGGAAGGTAACAGCTTGCTGCTGCCGCCCCCCCAGGTCCTGGTATGTATTATCGGCAATATCAGTATCTATATTGACCGATATTGCCGAAAATACAGAATATTGGGCGATATCGGTAAAACCGATAATCGGTCGATCCCTAGTGCGGAGCGTTGCCTGGCTTGCTTGCCACGGCAATGATCAGACACAACACATAGCTGGAGCAGACAAGAGGTGAGTACTCAGCCTGTAGGCCAGAGACTCTTAGCACTACCAGAGCACCAGGGCTTGTAATTTTCCCACTCACTGGGCACAGTTAATTAAAAGGAAGGTGGGGGGATATAAAGATTTTTTTTTTTCATAATAAATATAATTGCTCCCTTCTCACCCCCTCACACAATATAGACTTAATACCACAAAAAACACTCTGCACTCCTCATACTCATTGCACCCTACACACTACACCACACCCCCTATCCATACTCTAGATCCCCACATAGACCTACACTTCATTATTTACATACACACTACATTTCCTATGCACACGGTCTACAGCCCCTACACACATTACATGACCTATACACACACTACCCTACAAACACAACAGAAACAAAATATTTACACAAAACAGCACACCATAATCAGCTCACTTTACACATGGAATTCCACAAGCAGCCTCCAAATCCATGTATAATATCCTTTCCTGGCCATTTTGGCCTTTGGTTGTGGAGACACCAGAGACAAGTCACAAGCAAACGCAGCGGAAGCGTTTCTTTAAATTTGCTTGTGTGCACAAAACAAATGATATTTTATAACAATATACTTAAGGTATATACTGTATGTAATTGTCTATTATATGTTTTATAACAGAAAAATATGTTTGAATAAAGAATTATTAAAAAAAATAAAATAAAAAAACACAACATGTTCACTTTGAGACGGGATGTGCTTGGCATTGGTCCCGTGGGCTGCTGTGATTAAAACAAGCCAGGGCTTTTTTTTTTTCCAGTTCAGCCTGACCATTACACCAACAGGGACGTTTATGACATCACATTCTAAATACAGAGACATTAAATATGTGGTTGCAACTATAACAGCTTCAATTTTTATGGGAAAGCCAGATTTTTGATTTTTGGAATGTTTCTGTGGGAATGCCAATTAATCAAATAGAGCAAGTGTGAGGTCAGGCACTGATGTTAATTGAGACGGCCTGGCTCACATTCTCCATTCCAGTTCATCCCAAAGGTGTTCGATGGGGTTAGGGCCATTAAGATTCTTCCACACCAAACTCATCCACCCATGTCTTTATGGACTTTTTTTTTGCATTCTATTCACGTTCGAACAGAAAAGGGCCTTCTGCAAACTGTTCACACAAAGTTGGAAGCATGGCAATGTCCAAAATGTTTTGGTATGCTGAAGAAATAAGATTTCTTTCACTGAATGTAAGGGGCCTAGCCCAACCCCTGAAAAACAGCCCCATACCATTATCCCTCCTTCACCAAACCTTACAATTGGCACAATGCAGGTAGGTAGTCACTCCACAGTAAATGTTTCCACTACTCCAGAGTCCACAGGTGGTGTGATTTACACCACCCAATCTGGCATTGTACTTGGCGATATGAAGCATGCATGCAGTTGCTTGACGATAGAAATCCATTCCATCAAGCTTCCCTAACAGTTTGTGTGTATATTAATGCGAGTAGAAGGAAGGAATTCTTCAGGTATGGAATCAGGAGAGCAATGGCCACTCCGTGATCCTGCTCTGTGACTTTACGTGGTCTTCTGCTTCATTGCACTGCTGTTTCTAAATCTTTCCACTTTCCAGTAACACCACTCACAGTTAACCATGGAAAATCAAGCTGGGATGCAATTTCATGAACCAATTTATTGCACAGGTGGCAATGCAGAACAATATCGCCAGGGCCGCCATCAGAAATTTTGGGGCCCCTAACACAGCTCAAGGTCTGGGCCCCCCTTCAAGCCTGCCTCCAAATCCCGCCCACAGGAATACACACACACTAACAGATACAAATACTGAAACAGACATACACACATGCATAGGGAGATGCTGAGACACACACATATATACAAGCAGACATACATACTGACAAACATACATATACATACTGCATATTGATATATACATACATACCGACAGGCATACATACATACATACAGACACACACAGGCATGCATACAGACACACACTGGCATACATACACACATACACTGGCATACATGGGCATACACACACATGCACTGGCATACACACACACATACACTGGCATTCATACATACACATACACTGGCACTGGCACTAGCATTCATACACACATACACTGGCATTCATACACACATACACTGGCATACACACACTGGCATACACACTGGCACACACATACACTGGCATACACAATGGCATACATACACATACACTGGCATTCATACACTGGCATTCAGACACTGGCATTCACACACACATACACTGGCATTCAGACACTGGCATACACACACATACACTGGCATTCATACACCAGCATACACACACATATACACTGGCATTCATACACACATACACTGGCATACACACTGGCACACACATACACTGGCATACACACAGGCATTCAGACACTGGCATTCAGACACACATACACTGGCATTCATACACCAGCATACACACACACACTGGCATTCATACACTGGCATTCAGACACTGGCATACACACACATACACTGGCATTCATACACCAGCATACACACACACATACACTGGCATACACACACTGGCATTCATACACACACACACTGGCACACACATATACTGGCATACACACACTGGCATTCATACACTGGCATTCAGACACACATACACTGGCATTCAGACACTGGCATACACACACATACACTTGCATTCATACACCAGCATACACACACACATGCACTGGCATACACACACTGGCATTCATACACTGGCATACACACACATACACTGGCATTCATACACTGGCATTCAGACACTGGCATTCAGACACTGGCATACACACACATACACTGGCATTCATACACATATACACTGGCATACACACACTGGCATTCATACACTGGCATACACACATACACTGGCATTCATACACTGGCATACACACACATACACTGGCATTCATACACTGGCATACACACACATACACTGGCATTCATACACCAGCATACACACACACACACACACTGGCATTCATACACACACTGGCACACACATACACTGGCATTCAGACACACATACACTGGCATTCATACACCAGCATACACACATACACCAGCATACACACATACATACACTTCATCCCCAGCCACCCTCCTCTCTTCCTTACCATTTCGTCGCAGGAGGGTGGCTGGGGATGATGGGCATCGGCTGCCTCTCCTCAGGCTGCGTCCTCCTTCCCACGCGTAGTAAAGTGGGAGGAAGTGACCGGACGTCACTTCCTCCCAGCAGCACTTGCTTCTGGCTGCATTTTTTATTTTTTTTAAAGGGGCCCGGTCGCGCTATTACAGCGCTAAATGGGCCCCTGTAGATAATAGGGCCCATTGGGTGGCCCTAAATGATTGGGGCCACCTGATGGGCCCCATCAGCGTGTGGGCCCCGGTGCAGATGCACCGGCGGCAGTTCCGCTGATCCACGTGGGGCCCGGGCGGCCGGGCCCCCCAGGGCCGCCGGGCCCGTGACAATTGTCACGGTTGTCATGCCCTGATGGCGGCCCTGAATATCGCACTTGAATTCACTAAGCTCATTAGAACATCACAAATGTTTGTAAATGCAGGGTGCATGGTTAGTTGCTTGATTTTAAACACCTGTGGCAATGGGTCTGATTGAAATACCCAAGTTCAATAATTAAGAGGTGTGTCCCAATTATTTTGTCCATATAGCTTTATGTATATTAAAAAAAATAAAGTGGGAATGGAGCCAAACACCACAATCTTCCTTAGCCACGCCAATTCATACCAGCAACAGGCATATGTGAGAGGCTGAGAACAGTCAGTCAATAACAACCACATATTGCTGCTTAGATGAATGCCTCCTCATTAGCTCCAGTAGCACAGATGGGATGGGCTTATGAGGACTTGCAGAGAGCATTAAGCCATTCAAAAACAATTTAACACTGAACAGAAGAATGACACCAGGGGACTCCAGGCACTATAACCATGTCAGCTAGATTAGGTTACAGTACCCCAGAGTGTCCCTGTAATTGGAAATGGACAATGTGAGTACGTGAACTTTCAAACTTGTTTTTGCTGCTGTGTCCCTCTGTTATATGATACACTCTGCACTTTTGTGACGATTACACATTAAACTGTATGCATGCTTGCTGTTCACTGCATTTGTACCACTTGAGAATGTCACAATGCTTTTCTAGAAAAGGTGATAATGTATAAACCAGACACCTTGTTGTCAAAATATAAATACTTTTAAAGTCAAATTAAATTACTGTATATACTCGAGTATAAGCCGATCCGAATATAAGCCGAGGCACCTAATTTTACCACAAAAAAACTGGGAAAACGTATTGACTCAAGTATAAGCCTAGGGTGGGAAATGCAGCAGCTACTGGTAAATTTCTAAATAAAATTAGATCCCAATAAAATTACATTAATTGAATATTTATTTACAGTGTGTGTATATAATGAATGGAGTGTGTGTGTGTGTGTGTGTGTGTGTGTAGTGTGTGTGTATATAATGAACAGCATTTCAAATGTAAATACAAAAGTTCCATGCACAACATATAACACCACTCTAAAATATGCATTATGTAAATGCATGCTCCATCAAATGAAAACATCTTCCACTGAGAAACGTTATTAAAAGGCATAACAAGAAAATAAATTTGATTAAAATGGCATTTCAAAATGTAGTTTATCACACAAAAATTTACATTCCAAGTATAAAAAAAAAAAACCAAAACAACTTACTAGATAATTAAAAAACAAAAACAAAGAAAGTAAACACAAAAGATATATAAAGGAATTATTAAAGTGTCATACCTGTTAACAGAATTGAGGAGAAACTGAATTATTATCTTTTCAATTTTGTATATTAATATCAGTTGCAAAGCTAGAATATGCTTCATGTTTGAGGTCACTTTCTTGGCCTAAAACATGTTATTTTTATGTTGATCAGATTTTGAGATTAGAGCAAAAAGTAGCAATACAAAATATATTGACAAGAGGAATAAACATTTTTTAGTGTAAAACAAATTTGTGGCCTTCACGAACATACAGCGTGAAACAGCCATGGTATGCTAGTATACATCTGTATGCGCCATTTTTTGTAGCAGTACGTTAAGCAATATAAAACTGGATGATAAATGACTAAAATGAGTGCTGGGAGTTAACAGTTTAACCCACCCTCCTCAAAAAGTAAACAAAAAACATGCAATAGACAAAAAAAAAAAAAAAAAGTTTAGCAATAGTGATGTCCCGAACGGTTCGCGAACGGTCTCATCATTGAGTAAACTTTGACCCCTAAGAATGCAGCTTCAAAATGGATGCTGTCCAGGAAGTGGGAGAGTCTGGGAGGGAGGGTCTGCTGCTGATTGGCTGGAATGTGTCTGCTGACTGTGAGGTACAGGGTCAAAGTTTACTCAATGATGAGACCGTTCGGGACATCACTACTTAGCAATAGTCAAAACTTTCAAAATTCCTTAAAATGATCATTTGTGCATACTTAAAAATAATAAACAAAATCATTAGTACATTCCCATGATACAATGCCAATAACGTCAAGGTGATTCAACAAAATATCCATAGTATATTGCTATTGAAACTCCAGTGTTAGCCTTTTGAGGTTGTATTTGTCTATTTCAAACATACCACTTAAAAAAAAAAAAACACATTTAGATATAACATAGGAACAAAAATACTAATTTCACATTTAATCTCTACCCCATCCCCATAGTTACTTCAAAGGCATTAGACAAAACGGTGCCCAAGTTGATGTTATCAAGAACTACATTGGGTAAAAGTGGGTCTAGTGCAAATTCTGCAACTAAGAATCAGTAAAGTTACCAAATCTTAAGCATAACAAGTCAAATCAATTTTTTCAGGAGCAAAAGAGAAAAACAAATTATAAACATTTAAGAGTCATAATTCCAACAAGATTCCACAGAGAAGCTTCTGTGAATGCACAGTGTATTCTTAAGACATGATTAAAATAGAAAACTTGGTTCTTTATACCCAAAAAGTTTGAAGTCCACTTTAAATCTCTCATAAAGGCGCTTAATGTCTCTTTTTGTTACTCTAGAGAAATAGTATTCCACTTTGGATTTGTTGTAGCTTGTGATTCCTGGTGGTATTGTAGGATATGACACTAACCGGTCAATACCAGCCTCTCGTAGGATGTATGGAGCATCTTCCTCAAGGGTTTCATGATGTCCAATAACATTGAAATTAATTTCACAAGGTGCACAAAGTTCTACATATGTCACCCAGTGAATTATATGATCCCCAAATTGGAGATCAAGAAATCTGTGATTTGGGTCCCCCAGGTATCTTATAAAGTCTTCAAACTGCAGGCCTCCTCTGGATTCCTTACGGTTCTTTCTGTATTTACGGATTATGATAGGAGCAATGTCATGCTTATACCAGGGCTCAAAGCGAGGGTTATGAACAAATTTATCCTTGAAAGCAGAAATGAGCCTTTCAAATGGATCCCGTACAATTAAAAATTTAAAATAGGAGTTAAGTCTGGAATAAAAACAAAGAAATAATATTAAAACATAATCATTACATGGAACAGAAATGAGAGCAAATCAATAGCCAGAAATGACCCAAATACATGCCAGACATTTACAAGAATATTCACTAAAGTCCAAATGGCACAGTACTAAATCTGGCAAAACCATCCAGTTACATTTGGACTGCAAATGCAGAGATTTTTCATTATTTAATAATGTCCAAACCAAATGACCAAACAGCTGAAATCTGGATCCAAACGTTATAATATGGGTCAGGATTGCTAAACTCTGGAACCATATTTTCAAAGGTCGACCTATTGACATATCTACCCCATTGCAGCCATACAATTTACTGGCATGGCGGGAATTCTGTCGATCCAGACAGAATTCGGTGTCAGTGAGTAACCCTATAAATGTGTCATATTACTGGGATATTGTAAGCACCACACCAATTTAAGCTTAAAGACACTCTGGGCACCATAACAACTTGGTTTACCTGAAGGTGTTAAAATATTAAAAGGTTTAAACCCATGTCTCTTTAGTCACCTCCCCTCATGTCAGAAAGACTTCCTTATCAAAAGTATGCCCCCAACAGCACAGATAATTGCTTTTAATTCATAACCAGGTTGCAGATACAGATACTATACTAAGAGGTAATGATATCCTTTCTTTGTAGGTCAGATCATTCAGCACTGTCAATGGCTGAGAAATGTGCATACTTTGATAAGGAAGCCCTTTTCTGAAGTGGGTGTGGCTAAAAAAGGCTTATGGTGCAGTATTCTGCAAAACATTTATTTTTATCCAAAAACTAAAAAGATTTAAGCATGTAAAAATACAGTATATCAACCATGGCAAAACCGATCAAATACATTAAAGTTGTACTGGTGCCCATAGTGTCCCTAAAACCAAGTCCAAGATACATTACATGATAATATATAAGAATTATTATTCTGTGTTCATTAAACAGTGTTTAACAAATTCAGAAGATAATTCTACACCCTTCTGAAGTTCAGCAGGTGCAATTCAACATGTTTTGATAGCTAGGGTTCAAACGCTGTTTGGGATAAACTCAACACTAGCTCGAATAATAAGGCTTGTTCAGCTTCGGAGAGCAGCAAAGAGCTACTAGGAGAATAGTTTGCTGGGAAATTTAGCTCATGCAGGTGGAAACATCCTGAATGCCAATGTATTGAGCTTTGTTAGAACTTGGCTACTAATGAATAGAGACACAAAATAATGATCTAACAAAGCTCACACAATAAATCAAGACTTGGTGGGAGGACGTTTTTTTCCCACAATACAGATAAGAAAATCAGAGTTAGGCTAAAACTGCAGTTTTCGATCTTAGCCTTATAAACAAGCAAAGTATAATAGAGCTATAGTTAAAGAGACACTATAGTCACCTGAACAACTTCAGCTTAATGAGGTTGTTCAGGTGAGAACTATAGCTCCCTGCAACCTCTCTCATGTAAACACTATTTTCTGAGAAAATAGAGTGTTTACATTCAAAGCTAGGAACACCTCCAGTTGCAGTCACTCAGAGTGAACCAGAGTGACTTCTGACACTCAGATCTGCTGTACACGAGCATCATGTGATTCAGTAGCTCCTCCCACTGCACGCAGACACTGAACTTTCCTCATAGAGATTCATTGATTTAATTAATCTCTATGAGGAGATGCTGATTGGCCAGGGCTGTGTTTGAATCATGCTGGCTCTGCCCCTGATCTGCCTCCTTATCAGTCTCAGCCAATCCTATGGGGAAGAACTGTGACTGGATCAGGCTTTCACATGTCAGCAGACTGCTTGTTTTTCCTGAGTCTAACAGCATGCAGATTTACAGCTTCTGGCTTGAATACAGTAAGATTTTTACTATATTTATGGAGGCATGAGGGGCACAGGGGGGCTAGATGGTGGTTTTAACACTATAGGGTCAGGAATACATGTAGTTGCACTGGTGACTATAGTGTCCCTTTAATGTTTTTCGTAGCTGGTGCAGGGTGAGGTTTACATGTAAAAATATTCAATAAATAACATTAAAAATTAATCCATTTGACAACATCAGCTACTTGGGAGAGATGGGAGAACTGGAGACGACAGCACCCGCCATAACAACTGCCTACCACACACCCCCCTATGACACAGGGCATCTGGGAGGGAGACAGGATGAGTGGCCAAGCCAAGGGATAGCGGACACTCGACAAAGCGCAGCGAGGTCAATAGAAACCCACAAAGGTATTATTACTTAGACTAGCGGATAGAAGAATAAACATATAGGTAAATATGTAACTATGTAACGTCTTGGTGTGACGGCTGGATGGAAATGCTTGATTGATGCTTACCTTCCCCCCCCCTTCTTCTTTCTTCTGTATCCCCCCCCCATTACCCAGTTCTCATTGAACACTATGTTGAACAAAATAAAAATTGTCAAATTTAAAAAAATAAAATAAAATAAATTAATCCATTTGCACACTTCAAGGTATAACAAGGCAGCTTTAAAATGGGCCTAACACAGTCACTTGCAGACCATATACATCAAAGTGGCCAACTAGTCACCTGGAAAACTTTCATTCATTAGGAAATCTAATGGGTTAAAAAAAAAAAAAAAAAAAAATGTAAATCTTACTTATCTTAACCCCTTCTTTTTAGAAGACAAGTATTATATCTTAACTGTACTTAAGTGCCATAATAAGGCCCTAGCCTCTTAAGCATGTATTCAAACAAAATCTATTGGAGCATAAAATATTGCCATCATTCATTCCCTACCATTACTTACCACTGCTCTACTTTAATTTACCTGTTATTCTCCATTATGCCAGCTAACTAGTTCACCAACTTCTGGAGTGCTCACACATGAAATAGCTTTTCTTTGGTTACCTCTATTTTTTTTTTTTAAAGGAGTAACTGTAGGCCCCATAACTGCTTCATCTCATTGTATTGTTCATAGTGTTTGCAGTCCCCTTGCACTGCAGTCCCCTTGCACTTGCAGTCCCCTTGCATTCAGCATCTATTCAGTTTTTAATACTAAATGAAAGCTCCCAGCAACCCATCCCTTTTGTGCAGCTTGGACTGATGAGGAAGCATTAGCCTGGGCAGCAAAGGGTGGAGGTGAATGGCTGAGAATGTCAGCTGACCAAATCCAGCATATAATTGTGCCATTGCAGGTATAAAATCGATATGGCTACAATGTCTGCTTTAGAGGCAGGGGACTCTGCGAACTATAACCAATAAGATTAAATGTTTGACATACCTACATTATCCATTTAATTAAAAACATCTATGTAATTTACTTTTTTTACGAAAGTGCTGGAGAAGCTAGATTAAAGCACACAGGGCCCTAACTTTTGCAGCACTTTTTTTTTTTTTTTTTATAGATAAGTTACAGGGTTCTATATTGCTTTTTGTTTCAGTATGTCCAATTATACATCCCTTGGTCTGTAACTCAACTTAAGAGCAATTGCTAAATTTTGCGACATGCTCTAGACAAGATGTAAGAGCTGTGCATAGATTACAATTACATGATTTAGCTAAAGTCATTCAAACCTTTTCAGTCCTATGTGATACTATGGACACAACTCCTTTAAGCTCATACCTTTCTTGTATATCCTGTGCACTGAATGAAGAGAGCCTTGGAAGGCCATTTTTCTCATGGTCGTGGACCACATTTTCTGGAATCTCTTCAATTGATGGAAATGCACCTGTATAAAGAAGCCCACATTGTTTTCTACAGTATTTAATGGTAAAAAAAATACAAATAAAGTCTCTTTAGGTCTTTAAGTCACATTAAGCATCATATACAAAATGTCCTCTTTTACAAGTGTATAAATACATATTGTCCACAGTTGAGATAAGTATGGATTTGCTAGTAAGATTTCGGCAGAGGCGTGGAAATGTTCTGTAAATTAAATTAAATAGATATTTTAGTCCTGAGCAGCGAAATGTGGACCTATAAATCAATACGATGGGCCATTGGACAAAAACAGAATACAAAAACAACAGAAGGGAAAACATACATTATAGCCAGAAATGGAAAAAAGCATTCCTGGTAGATCTGTGTTTTCATTAGAGAATTTACTACTATGTATGTTTTTTGTTTTTTAGAAGGGGCCAGCACCAAATTCATCTGGCCTGTAGAAACAGGCTGTTGTTCCTATCGCTGCCACCAAGAACATACTAATATCACAGTGGAACTCAAAAAAAAAAAAAATCATAGTTACATAGCTGAAAAGAGACTTGCGTCCATCAAGTTCAGCCTACCTCACATTTGTTTTTTGCTGTTGATCCAACAGAAGGCAAAAAAAACCAGTTTGAAGCACAATTTTGCAACAAGCTAGGAAAAAAATTCCTTCTTGACCCCAGAATGGCAGTCAGATTTATCCTTGGATCAAGCAGTTATTGCCCTACATTGAAAGATTATATCCTTGAATATTCTGTTCTTGCAAGTATGCATCTAGTAGCCGTTTGAACATCTGTATGGACTCTGATAGAACCACTTCTTCAGGAATTCCACATCCTGATTGTTCTTACAGTAAAAAAACCTTTCCTTTGCCTTAGACGAAATCTTCTTTCTTCCAGTCTAAACGCATGGCCTCGTGTCCTATGTAAAGTCCGGTTTGTGAATAGATTTCCACACAATGGTTTGTATTGGCCCCGAATATATTTGTATAATGTTATCATATCCCCTCTCAGGCGACGTTTTTCTAAACTAAAGAGGTTTAAATTTGTTAACCTTTCTTCATAGCTGATATGTTCCATTCCTTTTATTAGTTTTGTAGCCCGCCTCTGCACTTTTTCTAGTGCCATAATATCCTTCTTTAGAACAGGTGCCCAAAATTGCACAGCATATTCAATATGGGGTCTTACCAGTGATTTATAAAGAGGCAAAATGATATTCTTGTCCCGAGAATGAATGCCCTTTTTCATGCATGACAATACCTTACTGGCCTTGGCCACTGCTGATTGACATTGCACATTGTTGCATAGTTTGTTGTCTATAACAATTCCCAAGTCCTTTTCATGTGTCAAACAAGCACGATTTACTAAGTGTAAATCGCGGAAGCAGCCTCTTGTGACTGTCAGTTTCCCTGAAACTGCTATGTTTTCAGCTGCAAGGTTAAAACTAGGGGGACCTGGCACCCAGACCACTTGATTGAGCTGAAGTGGTCTGGGTGCCTATAGTGGTCCTTTAAGAGACTTGATGACTGTAGCCCCTTGAAGAAAAATGTGCCCAGAACATCTTTGCCATGGTCTTCTGAGCAGCTGCTATTTTGGGCCTTTTGTCCTTCATGTTGAAATCCACAATAAGCCAGTATTCCTCTGTAACAACAGGCCTTATTCACTAAATTAAGAACTAGAGAGAATTTACAAGAATTACAAATTTAAGGGCAAAGAACATGAACAAAAATATCTCTAGATCTGCTATCTGGTGGCTTTCAAATAAAAAATAAAATAAAAACACACTTCCCTTGACAATTCTCTTAAATTCCAATTTTTGATCTTGCCTATCAGGGTTTAAAATTGTGTTTTATATTCAATCATATTGTATTTAATATCCTCTTATTGGTCAATAAAGTGCAAAACCGAGATTATCTAGGTGTGGTTTGTATTAGAATTTGGATACAAAAAAAGATTCTTAAAGGAAAACAGACATCATTTATTATTATTAATAAAGATAAGGTTTTAGAGTACAACAGTCTGTGGTGAAAGGGATCATAGATATGATTGTTGGGCATTAAGTAGTATAAAAATGAATGTTGGGCATTAAGTAGTATAAAAATACATCAACATAACAAATAACACAAAATATACAGTAATGCTATTTTAACTCTAGGGATGAATTCACTTTCGACATGAACAATTTAATACAAAATATAATTAAATAAAAGTAAAACAAAACAGAAGCAATAATTACCGTTTACTACCATCAGTACTTTTTTCCACTGTGTGTTTCCCACTTTAGGAGTTTGACAAAACAATATTTTGTGATTGTCAGACACAAAGATCCGGTCTAACACAAACTTAGAGATGGCAGAATGAGTAAGATTAAGAAGGGTTCCATTTTGGCACATATTTTTAAGAAGTTCTAGTCTCTCCTTGTGGATGTGGCCAGTGTGTGATACATCTTTCATAGGTTTTGCAGTTGGCTAAAAAGAAAATACACAAGAAAATACAATTTAAACTAAAAGCATATTTGAATGAGAGAAAAGATAAAAAATATATATATTTATTACAAGAACCAACACACTCACTTCATTCAATTTCAGCCATTTTAACACTCACAAAATTTAATAGTTTTTTAAAAACACCTAACTTGAGGAAAAATAATTGTGGTTTTGTTACAGTAGATAATCATACGTTGCATAAGACTGCCACAACTCCAATGGTACCTTATTTTGAGATAGAGATAGATATATACATATGCAACCCTATTTTATCCTAAGGATAGCAACATGTATATCTATTGGCTACTCTTTCAAATTGCTCATCTGTCATTTACACTAAATGCCCTTTGAGTGCCAAAGCAACAAAAAATTAAATTCCAAATACAGGAATTGCAAAATAGGCTGTGCAAAAGAACTCTAAAATCCTGCAACAGGGACTTTAAAAAAAAAATAAAAAATTGAAAGCAGCTTTTTGAATGGTTATTTTTAAACTTGCCTACATAGTGCTTTCTTAATTGCTAAGTGTGTCTAGATTTAATGAGGAGACAAAGCAAGTTAGAGTTGCTTGCATCCCCCAGGCTAGAAACTAGTCTTAGTTTTTCTACTTGCAGATGAGCACATACTGTCACAACGATGGCCTTCTATCTAGTGTTTATTTTTACATTATTCAGCAAATGTCAGCCTTACAGGGGCACTCTAAGCACCATAACTACTACAGCACATTATAAGGTTTCTGGGGTAGGGCGGCCTGATTAATAAAAAAACAAAACAAAAAGAAAACAACTACACTACAACCTACAAAAGCCTACTGTGCTCATATGAAAGTGAACTTCCACATTACCTTTCCTAACTATAGACAATAACATTAGTCAGACAGGACTAAGGATGGTTAGCCAATCGCTTTCATACCATCATTGCGCCCTGCCGTTAGATCAGATTAAGTGGAAGTACTGGTTAGGCATGCTTGCAATTCATTGATCTAAATGAAACATTACTGTTCAAACAGATTACTCTGGAGTACCTGTGTTTTTTTAATAGTCAAGAAGTTCAAATCTTTATTCTCTCTGAGTAAACTACTTTAATATACTGCTTCCCCTCTTACATAAAACAGATATGTCAAAAGATGTATTTATCCTTTTTTCTTCCAATGAATAAATATTTACAGTCATGTATTTTTTCAAAAGCATACCATCTGCCACACAATGTGATCGGATTATATAACAGCTTATCAGATATAAACAAGCCACTGTCGTGGAGGCAAGCCAAACATATTGTCGAGTCTCTAGCAACATGCGGCAGTTGGGGATCTCTTATTTATTCCACATGTTTTCTTAAATCTCCATGCTGTCTGAACAAACCGTAGACCACCAAATGCATTTCCCTGAAGTTTTAAACTTTACCTGTTAGATGTATTTCAGGAAAATAAAGAGACATTTCTATATTAAAGCTTTAAACTCAAATGAGCATGGGTTGATCATGCATTTGGATTCAACATGCTTCTGGTATGATCAACAAATCTTTCACTACCAAAGCTGTATATAAAATGGGTTTCCTTTCATTTCCCATTGCCAAGTAATGCAAAACAACAACAGACTGAATACTGATATTTATACAACCTGTTGCCATTTTAGGAAGCTGTAATTCTATTGTCCTCATATTCCTTACAAAAACCCTACGTCTATAAACAATATATTTAGCGATATCTGTGATAAACTTTGAAAATATTTTAAATCATGTCAAAACAATAATTCAAAATGTATATTGTGTACATTTGTAATATAAATACAAAAATATGCTGTATTAGCTTACATTTCTATGTTTGTTGTGCATCCCATGTTAAAGTAAAGCCAATATTGTATATAAGAAAAACTGTTTGGCAGGGAAGGGGTTAAGCAAGTATGGGCATAGATTAAGTGAGCAGTTGCTCTCCATCACTCTTATCAGCTAAGTCACTACAAAAAGTCCATGGAGAACAAATACAATGTCTATGTTACTATGTGTTTACATGATTTAATCCATTCCTTCCAAAATTTTAAATGGACAAAGGGTGACACATCAGATATCCAGACCTCTTCCGCTCATTGAAGTGGTCTGGGTGCAGGGTCTCTATTGCACTTAGTGCTGCAATGTAAAGCATCGCAGTTCCAAAGAAAATGCAATGTTTACATTGCAGCACTAAGTCTGCCTTCAGTGGCTATCTACCAGACAGTCACTGGAGGGGCTTCCTGGATGTTAACGAATTTTTGGTCTGTAACTGACGCTGGACGTCCTCACTGGATGAGGATTTTCAGTGTCAGCTATTTCCCCATAGGAAAGATTTGATTCAATGCTTTTTTTATGGGGACGGCATAATGCCCGTGCGGCACTTGTGGCCAGGGCCGGCCCATCCATAGGTCCTGGTGGGACTATGGCTCTAGGCAGTACTCAGACAGAGGCGACATTTTGCCGACCCGGTAATAATCTACCAGGATAATTACCAGTTGGGGAAAAATCATCACTTTGATTAGCCCCTCCGCTGGGGAGGGCTGTGAGGCCGCGCCAAATTGTAACAAACCAGGGGCATCGTGAAAGGGAGGTTAAGCTGCAGTTGCCGGGCTCTCAGTTTTCTGATATGGAGGGCATTCTGACACTGTGGCCTGGTCGATGGCTTAGCCAGCCCATGACCACAACCACAGCACTGCCGCAAAGTAAATCACTGAAGTTCCGGCACTTTGACATCTCTTGCTGTGCTGCCGGAACTTCAGTGATTTACTTTAAATACTTTGTGGCAGTGCTGTGGTTGTTGTCATGGGCTTGCTAAGCCATCGACCAGGCCACAGTGTCAGAATGCCCTCCATATCAGAAAACTTACAGAGCAGCACAGGCGGCCGGCAGCCTGGACTAGCAGGGCAAGAGGAGTCACAAGCAGGCCAGCAGCAGGGGAGTCTTAAGGAGCGGAACTGGAGCCACTAGAAGACAGATCAGACCCCACTCCAGGTGCAGATGCAGCAAGGATAAGTGTCATGATTGGCTGCAGTGCACACACCGTGTGCTGCCCATAAGAAGCCAATCCCCACAGACACACTTCATCCTCAGCACACAAACAGATGCACACTCCATCCCCAGCACACATACACACTCACTGCACTCCATCCCCAGCACACACAAAGACACACACGTAATCCCAACACCCCCCCCCCCAATATTACAATATGCCTTATGCAGAGAAGCATTGAACCCTATACAACTCTGCATTATACAATGTCCATATAAATTAATATAGATGGACTTGGTACAGAAAAACATCCTTATCTAATGGCATACATCCCACGTGACAATTTAACTTTTTGATATGTTATGGTTAGTGATTGTGTATTTTACTTGGCTAATATTTTAATACCAATGAAGATATTCCATAAGCATAAAATATGGTTCTGATATAATCCCATCTGTACAGGTTCTGGATATAATGAGTTTTGGAATGTACCTATAAATATATAACCTTCGAAGCCCCCTAATAATAGACATTCAATAGACACCACCAAGACTCATTTGTGAACCCTTCTGTGATCAAACTACCTGGCCAGTTTATTCAAGCATTTGATTTTTTGCTTGCGATCTTCTCATCTTGGTTGGGGCAATTAAATCGGGATCTCGTGGAACTCCTGATTTTACTTTACAGAGAGGGTAATTAGACGCATGGAGTACCCTTCCAGCTGAAGTGGTAGAGGTTAACACAGTGAGGGAGTTAAAGCGTGTGTGTGACAGTCATAAGACTATCCTCGCTATAAGATATGGCCAGGGACTAATGAAAGTATTTCGAAAATTGGGCAGACTAGATGGGCCAAACGGTTCTTGTCTGGAGTCACAGAGTGTGTGTGTGTGTGTGTGTGTGTGTGTGTGTGTGTGTGTGTGTGTGTGTGTGTGTGTGTGTGTGTGTGTGTGTGTGTGTGTGTGTGTGTGTGTGTGTGTGTGTGTGTGTGTGTGTGTGTGTGTGTGTGTGTGTGTATATATATATATATATATATATATTTTGACGTCAAATTTAGTGTACATTGCACTAAATATGTTACTGGAATGGGTTTTAATCATAATAATTTAACATAATGGATGTGGGCATGTTTTGGTGAGTGTAGTTTTGGTGGTGGGGCAGCATTTTATCTTTGGACTCAGGCAGCACAATGTCTTGGGCCGGCCCTACTTGTTGCGCATGCAGATTAGCGTCCCCTCATAAGTAATGTCGGAGGAGGCGGAGCCACGACTTAGCACCGAGGGACATCAGACACGGGGTTAGGTTTTTAACACATTCACCGCGAACGAGGGGAGGGGGGCAGAGGGAACTAGAATACAGCTTTGTATTCCTGGTACTAAAGTATCCCTTTAACTTTGGAGTATGACTAGAGGCATGACTGTTCTGAGAATTATTTGCTGACTTCTTAAGTGTTTTGCAAAAAAAAAAAAAAAAGGGAATTTGCAACAAGAACAATGTATCTTATTTGCACAGACTGATTTCTAAACTCATTTACTGTAGTTTAAAGACATTGCTGCAAGTATTATTGCTGTGGAGCGCTGTAATACACTCAGACACACCAACAATATAGAGCTCCTAGAAAAGAGGGACATTAGGATAGTCAAGAAGGACAGAGGGATTTGGACCCATTAATTGCTTCTAGCTTTAACCATAGCTTCCAAGTGTCACTATTTAGGGATTTGGACTATTCAAGTATGATGATGTCAGCCATGAAAGCAGTGCCAGCCGCAGCAAGACAGGCATGGTGTGGGAGAAAAGGGGAGTTTAAACACCTTTTCAGAGCGACCTAATGGAGGCAGAAGACCCAAGTAGCTTAACACTATAGTATCAGGAATACAGGTTTGTATTACTGACACTGTAGTGCTCCTTTAAGTGCAAAACAGTGCGTATCTGGTTAACATCTTCAAGACAGCAATAGGTAAAAGATTATAACTTAGTACAAGGTGTTACGGCAACAACTCAGTCCTAGAGTATATCGTGGTAGGATAGTTAATGCATTCCTTTTGACTGAAGTAGCTACTCTGAGCATGAGTAGGGGGAATTACACATTATTAATAAAAATAAAACAGTTAATAATGCTTATTATTGGTTTCTTTGCTTATGACACTTCACCCTTATCTTACATCAATTTGCATAATATAACTGTCTTGGTCTCTTCTGTGGTTTGCCTGCAATCTTTCTGCCAGTAACAAAAGCAATTTATCTTACATTTACTGGCCAAGAATACTATTTAAATTATTGTGTAATTACCAATGTCCTTATTTATCATATAGCACTCAATGTTTAGCAATCCTAGCAAACACTGGCTCATGCTTATTTTCCTTTCTTGTGATTCTAAAATAATGGTATTTCCCATTTGCACAGAATTTTGTACAATCTAGTTAAGGCAGTTGAAGGCTGGTAAGGAATGTAGGGACCAATTGCTTTCATGCCATAAGCATTCCAAAGATGTGGGTTGCACCCTCACAGCCCCATTGCTCTGGGTATGAAATATAGCAAGAAGTGCGCTGGGCTATTTATTGGCACAGTGCTAGAGGAAAAAGGCAGCTTATATGAATTATTCCAACCTTTTTTGCTTGGCTACAGGCCAATAATCTTAACATTTTAAAAAGGAGGTGGAATGTGGTAGAGTTAGTTATTGTGGTTGCAAAATGGGCCATTTTATTACAAACTATTTAGATTAGAAAAGTGCAAATTGTTTGTCAACTTACCTGCAGCTCCTTCATGCAGCCTCCAATAGCTCTCCTAACCAAAGCACTGCAGTGGGCGAGCTCATTGGCTGCCAACATCAGCTGAGAGCCCTCCACCAATGCACAAGGATTTCTTGCCACCTGAGGGGTCCCAGCGCTGGTGTTACCATAAGGCGGTGCAGGCATCCGCCTTACGGCGCACAGGCCTGAGGGGGTAGGCACAGAATTTGTTTGACCGGGCAGGAGGACAGAGCACAGCGCACTCCTCCTGCTGGTCACGGCTTGTAGTAGCTACTGTATCCTCTCCCCGGTCTGACAGGAAGAGGAGGGAGATGTTACAGGAGCTCCTCTACCCCGGTTCCCAGCTTGGCCATGCTACAAGAGGGATGTGAGCAACCACAGAGGGGAGCGAAAGAGACACAAAGGAACTGGGGGGGGAGGGGGAGACAAACAGGCACATAGGGGGCTTGGGAGGGGGGGAGGGGGAGAGACAGACACTCTCTCCTGGGGAGGAAGCAAACAAGCCAAGAGGGACTGTGGGGAACAAACCAACACAGAGGGGCTTGGAAGGGCCAAAATAGACAGGCAGGGACTAGGGAATGGGGCAAAAGACACATACATAGGGGCTGAAGGGAGAAAAAGACAAGGTGCTGGGGAAGAGACACGCAGAGAGGCTGAGAAGGGAAGAAAGAGACCCACTACAGGGGTGGGGGGTGCAAGAGACAGAGGGGCTGGTAGGGGGGACAAAGACACAGAGAGGTTGGGAAAGGGGCAAGAGAGACAGAGAAGGGCTAGGAAGTTGCGAAAAAGACAAACAGAGACTGAGGAGAGACATCCAGAGGGGCTGTGGTGGAGAGGGAGACAAGGAGGGGCGAGGGGGAGAAAGGGTCAAGGTTTTGGGGAATGGGCAGAAGAGACAAACAGGCACTAAGTGACACACAAACTTACACAGAAGGTTGGGGAACGGGCAAAAGAGAGACAGGGGCCAAGAGGAGACACCCAGAGGGGCTAGGGGTAAACAATGACAATGTGCTGGGAGAAGGAGATACACACAGAGGTTGAGAAAGGGAGAAAGACACGCAGAAGAGGCTGGGGTAGGACAAACACACAGAGGGGCTGGTGAAGAGGCAGAATAGACAGACAAGGAATGAGGGTGTGGAACAAAGACACAGAGGGGAAGATATTTTGAAAACATCGATTTGAAACATGATTCTGGAATACGATAAAGTGACTGCTGACAAGAAGTATAATACGTCCCATTAATGGTAAGAAAACCTAAAAATTTTATTTAAACTTGTACTGTTTAGCAAAGTAATTTTTATTATATGGTTTATTTGCAAAATAGTTGAATCATTATTTATACTAATGCGGTCGTACCCCAGGTAAGATGTCAAAATATTAACAAAACCTGTTTGATTACTTACATTAGATGCAGTTAGTGGTTATTGTGCGCGGAGTGTTATAAATAGGGCTGTCATAAACCAATGTACATTAAATGTTTGGTTGTAATTCAGCATTAACATCCCCCCCCAAAAAAAAAAGTTAAAATTTTTCTCATGGATATCCATGCCATATAAAATAATAATCATCATAATAAATAAGCCCAGAAATCAGTTTTCAACATATGTAGAGGTTTGGCTCATATTCATTACACAAAATTCTATAGCCCAGACAAAAACAATATGCTAATAAAACATAGAACATACCTGGCTGTCAATCTGCAATTTTTTTATTTCAGTCACGGCTATTTTTTCTGTGTCAGGTAAATTGGTTAATGATCCTTGATGAATAATTCCATAACCTTTAAAGTAAAATTACAATAAACAATAAATCATTAATCAAACTGCATCACTAACATTGGACCAAAGTTTTTCCTGCTTGCAAAGACAAAGTCCTAAATGAGCAATACATTTTTTTTTTTTTTTGTTTACCGGCAGGATATCCTGAAATTAAGAAGCACTCCAACCAGCATAACTACTACAGGAATGTCCTCGTGCCTTTCCAGAGGAAATAATCAAACCGTGTAAGAATGGCCCCCATCACGCCTCCCTTACTGCTGTAAGTTCCTGCCAATGAGTGTGAAACTGTGAGGCTCAGTGGTGTTTACTGGAATCTCTGTGCAGCAGCTTCCAGTAGAAAGGGATGTGGTGGTGGGAACCAAGGTTACTGGTCAAAACATTCTTAAACTGTTTGACTGCTTACTCCTGGCACCATAACCACTATAGCTTATGGTAGTTGTTATGGTTACTGGAGTGTTCTTTTATTATGTGCATTAATTACCAAAGGCAAATATAATTTTTACAGTATTGTGCTTTCAGATTGTTGGAATAATATTTCCCACCTGAAGCGTACTATGCCATAAATACATCTAAATTAGAAGCACTAAACTGCAACAAATTTTTTTTGCAATTTTAATAATGTTCTTATTAGACACAAATTATATCAGTATTGCTAGAAAAATAACAAATATGGATACCTTCAGGGTCTCTCATCCGTAAGGTGATAAACTTGCTTGCAACCATCAGCATGAATAGAACCCACAAGCATGCAACAAGCAGTAGCCAACGATGGTGCATGGTGACAAACACCAGCCATTAATAAACGACAGCTTCCTGCAAAACAGACAATACATGGAAATGCAATTACATTAGGTTAGCAGGTTACAAAAACACCCACTTAACTACAACAGAATACACACAACACAACAAATGGCAAAACCAGTGCAAAAATAGCAACATCTTTCCATTTAGACTTATTTTGTGAAAATTCGACCTAATTAGTGAACAAAATCTGTAGGTGAACACAAATGCTAAACTTTTGCATTTATTGAAACAGGAACTCCTTTTAGCAGGGTGTATAAAAATCAATAAAAACATTTTTTTTATAAATATATATGTAAAAAAAAATATTTTTTTAATTTAAATTGGATTTCTTTTCATAGAATGTTTTTGGATGAAGAACCAAAACAAATATAGTTTTCTATTTAAGATACATTATGGTTCAAATGCTATTTAGCATGAGATCAGAATTAGTTATGTAACATTAGGATGTATATTCATGCAATATTTATATTTTTGGTAAATGAATCCCATAAAAAAAAAAAAAAAAAAGTAATCAAATAAATAAAGTTCAGAAAGACTTTTGCCTTATTGTTATTCTACAAATCGGTATTAAAAAAAATAAATAAAAAACAAGCACCAGGATCACTTCAGTGATTTGAACTGGTCATGGTGATTAACCCCTTAAGGACGGAGCCAAATGTACACGTTGTGAACAAAACAAAATGTAAACAAAACCTGGCATTTGCGCTACATGTCTGTCCAACCGTAATACTTCTCTTTCATATTAAATACAACCACCCTTATTATATATCATTTTATTCAGGGGAAACAGGGCTTTCATTTCATATCAAAAATTTAGCTATGAAACATAATTTAATGTTAAAAAAATGGGAGAAAAGATTTTTTTTTGATTTTTTTTAGTTCTACATGACATTTTAACGGTCAATGTCATAATACTGTTTGCTTTTACTGCAATAAAATACACATATTTGTATTCAGCAAAGTCTCACGTGTAAAACAGTACCCCCTATTTACAGGTTTTATGGCGTTTTGGGAAGTTACAGGGTCAAATATAGCACGTTACATTTGAAATTGAAATTTGCCAGATTGGTTACGTTGCCTTTGGGACTTTATAGTAGCCCAGGAAAGAAATTTACACTCATAATGGCATATGATTTGCAATAGTAGACAATCCAAGGTATTGCAAATGGGGTATGTCCAGTCTTTTTTAGTAGCCATTTGGTCACAAACACTGGCCAAAGTTAGTGTTAGTATTTGTTTGTGTGAAAAATGCAAAAAATGCCAATTTTGGCCAGTGTTTGTGACTAAGTGGCTACTAAAAAAGACTGGACATACCCTGTTTGCAATACCTTGGGTTGTCTACTATTGCAAATGGTATGCCATCATAGGAGTAATTTTCATTCTTGGGCTACCATAGGGTCTCAAAGGCAACGTAACCAATCTGGCGAATTTTAATGTGAAAAAAATGAAACACAAGCCTTATATTTTACGCTGTAACTTTTGAAAACACCATAAAACCTGTACATGAGGGGTACTGTTGTACTCAGGAGACTTCGCTGAACACAAATATTTGTGTTTCAAAACAGTAAAAAGTATTGCAGCAATAATATCGTCCGTGTAAGTGCTGTTTGTGCGTGAAAAATGCAAAAAAACGTCACTTTTACTGGCGATATCATCGTTGTAATACATTTTACTGTTTTGAAACACTAATATTTGTGTTCAGTGAAGTCTCCCGAGTAGAACAGTACCCCACATGTACATGTAAGGGCACAACTTGAAATACCTTAGAACCTGGAGGAGTAATACCGTGTACATTTAAATAGCGAAATCTGCCCGACACGTGAGCCCTACGAGGGCTAAGGAAATAGTTGTAAACATGTAAGTGATAACCTTGTAAACAATTGAGGGGTAACACGAGCGACTTAGACTAAACCAGATGGCATGAATATGAAAATACCAGCATATGACATCAAAATTAAATTAATAGCATCAAGGCATATAGCAAAATTCTAATAATGCGGAAACTCTGGAAAGTAAGTGAATCGTGAACCTGTCACATGTATAAGCCCCTGTCGCCTGAAAATAATAGGATAGCCTGGAAACAAATGAACGTAGATAAGTGATTAATATAGCGAGGGCCAAGTTGACAAACCAACTTATATGGGGGAAATAATAGAGTAGAAAGGTTTGAGAACCAGAAAAGTATCAATAATGAAGAAAACCAAAAAATAAACAAAAGTAACCAGTATCAGGATCAACAAGAATATACGATGAAAAGTATCTACAAGGGCCATAACGGTGGACAATTCAAACTAACAAGTTTATGAGAGGTCAATCAACAACCTGTAATTAGTATAACTAACCCAAAGTAAACCTTTGTTAGCAGATCAGTCCCATGAGGGTTGTAGTTAATGTAAGTACAGTGAATGTATATACAAGTTAGTTTATATTTGTGAACCATATGTGTAGGCCCAAGTTGGGCTTGACATGATTGATCCAGTCAATAGCGACACGTAGCCATGTAGCATGTAGGGGGCCAAGACATAATAGAAGTCGATATGTTCCAGTAAAGGGCCTTATACCGGAAGCTGAAGAAGGCATCGCTGTAAATCTACGTATTAATGAAAAGCTGAATATGATAGTAGTGAAATTCGCCCTGAAAGAACAAAAATACAGTTAGTAGAAACCGATTAAATCAGCCATGGCAGGCCCGCCATGGCGACTTCTATAAGTACAAGGTAGGGTCGGCTCAACTTAAAGATGACATGTTTTAGTAGAATAATGATTTCACAATATGTCTGATAGGTGTGGCATCACAACTTATCTATATCCAAATTCACCTATTAGTGTAAAAACTTTCAGACAGAAAGTCAAGTCAATATCCCGTAAGATATCTGAACGTACAGGCGCACATGCTCAATATTGAATTGTTTTATCATCGTATGCGTACGGAGAACCCTGTGAGGATCAGCATTCTGTTGACGGCAAGGTTCAAAAGGGTATTCCTAGTCTTTCCAGTTTCTCATTTATTTACACCTCAGAGGAAATGAGTGCTGAAAACGTTGCATGGAGGTTGGTGCAACTCATGCCTACTCAAGCATCAGCATTGTCTGTATTGGTACGCATGAGCCTGAATAGTTCCGCTTTCCCGGCCATTGCTGGGAAAGGAACGTTGCGTCTGCGCAGCTCAGTCGTAAAACAAGGAATGGTCCATTACCTGATGGAATCTGATAGGTGTCACTTTTTCGTGTAGGCATAGTGGACCAGACTGGAGTACTGGGGGTTGACAGGTCATCACCTTGTTACAGGGGTCTGAGACATACTGCAATATCCAGTATGTATTAGCTAGTAATTAGCTTGGATTAGGATCATTTTACTGGCTGGCTAGCTAGTGCCAAGTGGCAAATCAATTCACTAAGTACGCGACAGGTGAGGCCCTGCTAGTTGACAAGTGGCTTGAGAGGTTCTATCTATGCTTTGGTGCGAGTGGATTCGTGGCCACCGAACGTTGTGGCAGGGTGTTGGCCTCTAGGTGACATTTAAATCATGAGATAGATTGGGTGTGACAAGTGAGGCCCTCTGTATGCCACTGTGCAAGGCAGCCAATTATGTTTTGGCCCAGGGGGCATAACACCTCATGCATGGAGGATGGGTGTTGGCCTCACGGGACCACTAACTCCAAGGCAGAGATGCCAGAAACTTAACATCTCTTGGTCACCTAGCTCCCTATAAGCCAGTAAAACCTACTCACTAAAAAGGTCTACATTGCGGGGGAGCCATCGTGGCTAAAAACGTACCTGAATTTGTATAAGAGTTCATGTAGTTCTGTATGGTATGGTTGTAACCTGTAACTGAAATCTTCCGTATCCCCTAAAAGAGGCAGAGAAGAGGGGAAGGAGAGGTCTATAACCTACGAAAAGAACCGTAACTGACAAATGGGTGCGAGGTCTGAAAAGCAAATAATGCTCCAAATTGATAACTTGTGAAATAATATGATTTGATAAGAAATAAGGAAGTGGATGTTCGCAAGATACCCATGGCGTCCTGGAAAGCCACAAGACCAAATATCCGCAGACAGGAACTGTAGTGTTAAACCATGCAATCATATTTAGGGAAATATCAAAATCTGATTAGACATGACACAAATATGTTTGTAAGCAAAACCGTAGATTGTGCAGAAATGCATATGTAAATATAGACAGTGTTGCCCAAGGCGTATCAGTCTATCGTAACTCATCTAATATGTCACATCGAAGGTAATACCGGTTTGTGGCATTATGATAATCAGATTGTGGAAATATTACCGCTACATAACTGTAAAATAGTGATACCCGTATACTAGGTGCCTATAAATTTACTACCCAGAACCTAAAACAAGACATTATATTCTTAATCCAAAATCAAAAAATGTTTTTAATGAAATGCCCAAACGAGGTGCCGGATTAGCCTGTGGCAGGTTGCCCATTACAGGGCATATGAACACACGTTGTAAAGGCATAGTTATGCCAGGAGTAGGAAATATACATATCCCGATTTGTATCCAGAGTTTCAGGGTGGCTGTGCGGGCTATGTTAGGATTAATGCGGGTGAATGTAGGATGCGAATCTGAGAATAGTTGTGGAGTTTGTGTATGTAGCTAAGACATGGTGATGAGATGGTAGAGAACCCGATAATTACGAATAATCATCTAGTTTATGAAATGGTGAAAAGAACAGAAACTGTATAAAAACACTTATAAAACATCATATAATACATATGCACTGAGCCCAATAAAACGAGGTGTTGAAAGACAGAATCAAAAGGGGAACAGAGGCCTCTAGAATGCCACAGTGGCTGAACAAGCTAGAGGCTGTGATGGCCGTACATAGGAGATATAAGACATACATTAAAAAGACCTACACATGGAATGCTTAGGAGGATGATAAATACTCATGCATACACAGCTGGCATAGAAGATTAGGGTTTAAAGCAACAGGAAATGCTAGAATCTCTCAGTAATATTAGCAAAACTGAACATAACTGAATGATGTTCCTAATGCAGACCGTACAAAGAAAGTCTGGGTGGTGTGAGAAAGCGAGGGAATGCAAAAGCAGCAGACAAGAGAACTGCAGTTTAAGCTAGCTGTGTAAGATTATATCCCAATGAAAATTACATAATTAAATGCAGACAAGCTGTCCCTTGGGGCATTTCTACTAAACAGTGAATTACCAAACAATATTGGCCCAATGAGTAATACCCAGAGGGCAGACAAACATTAAAGTGTAGGGCGACTAACTGAAATGCATATACATACACTTTTATGAATTTGAGGACCTTTAGTAAGAAGATTTAAGACTTTTATAAGATATTCCCCTTTACAGAAAATAAGGAAGTTTACATTTATGTGTACAGAGAATGTATATACAAGTTTATATTTTATTTCCTTTACCACATGTATAAGAACAAGTTTGGGCCTGACCTAAATTTAGACAGTCAGTTGCAACATCTAGCCACATAATTACTAAACAATGAAGGCTCAAAAAGTGCATGAATACCCAGTATAGACAAAGAAAACTTTTAAATGTAGAGTGAAACATTAAATTTCAGGGTGACTAACTAAAATGCATATGATAAAAGTCGATATGGCCTGGTGTGGGCCAAATACAGTAAGCAGAATGAGGCATTGCTGGCAAACACAGTAAGCAGAATGAGGCATGCTATGTACGATTGAAATAGGCTGAATTTGCTTTACTAGTAAAATTTGCCATATCTGAATGGCTAAACAAACGAACAGTTTTGTTGAAAAACCAACAGTTATAGAAGCCGTAGCTGGGCTGGACGTGGCAGTGCCCCATGAGCTTCTAGTGAGGCGGCTGTTTACTAGAGTGAGGTAAAACAAATACTTGTGTGGGTCACACTAGGCCAAGACCAGCTTGTTTAGGCAGTTTGTGTTGATGACCTCTGAAATGGAAGTAGATGGTTCTGTTCTGAACCAGAAAGTCTCAAAAGCCTGCAGCTTGTCAGACCAATTACCGTAGGGTAGGGAAGGGGGGGGTGAATCCCTTTTAAAGGTCCAGCACCCTCACACAGCACACTAACAGTACCCTCACAAACACACAGCACCCTCACACAGCACACAAACAGCACCCTCACACAGCACACAAACAGCACCCTCACACAGCACACAAACAGCACCCTCACACAGCACACTAACAGGACCCTCACACAGCACACTAACAGGACCCTCACCCACACACAGCACCCTAACAAGCGCACACACAAACACCCTCACAGCACCCTACCAGCACCCACACACATCACCCTCACACAGCAGTGTGTGTATGTAATTATTAATTAGGGGCTGTGAGCAGCTATATAACTGCAGTTAAAGCAGGGTGAAGTGAGGGAAGTGTTTTGTAGAGAAAGAAGGTTTGCTGTTTATTGTATCCTGTTACTTCATAACAACAGAAAATAAACAGGCGAGAGGCCTTTTTGAAACTGGGCTTTGTCTTCACCTGGTTTTCTTACCCTAGAGGGCTGTGCGGTTGTCAAAAGATCCTGGACAAACACACACAGGAAAGTAAGTTTGTCACATATGGTGGAGAATGCGGGCACTGCACTAAAGAAGCCTGTGGGTATTAACTGGAAGCCAAACAAGCCTGGAGAAATATGGAGGAAGTTGTGAAAGTTTTGTTGCAAACTACAGCGGCACAGCAAAAGGCTACAGCCGTACAGCAGGAGGCCACAGCCCTACAGCAACTGGTAATTACGCAAAAGGCCAACACAGATGCTATGATCCAGCAGGTTATGGCAGCCCAGGCTGAAGCAAACCGCCTGCTCAGAGAGGAGCAACATCAGGCTACCAGTATGATACAGAAGGAGATACAGGCTTTGACCAAGGGACTGACCAGAGTCTCGGATGGGACACAGTCTGAGGTTAAAATGATCAGAGCCAGCCGTTACCTGCAGAAGATGACACCTACAGATGATGTGGAAGCATACCTGCTAGCTTTTGAGAGGACAACTGAGAGAGAAGAGTGGCCAGTGAGTGAGTGGGCAAGCATACTGGTGCCTTTTCTTATTGGAGAACCCCAGAAGGCTTTCTATGACCTGGAACCAGCACAGGCAGGGGTATACTCTAAACTGAAGGCTGAGATCCTTGCACGACTTGGTGTGACTATGGCAGTTCGTGCCCAAAGATTTCATGCCTGGACTTTCAACCAAGAGAAACCTATCCGCTCCCAGATGTTTGACCTGATACATCTTGCTAGAAAGTGGTTACAACCAGAAATAAATACGGCAAGCCATATCATGGAACTTCTTGTGATGGACAGATTCCTGCGGGGCTTGCCTGCTTCACTGCGTCGATGGGTCAGTCAGAGTGATCCACAAACAGCAGATGAGTTAATTGGTTTGGTGGAAAGATATGTTGCTGCAGATGACAGACAGTGGCTCAACAACAAAGGCTAAGCAGAGAGTTAAGACTCCAGCTGCTGAAAGACCTGGTAAGATTTTTCAAGGTTTCAGAGACAGAGGAACAAGAGACATATTCCCAGAGACCCCATACGCTTTTGTCTAGAAATGTTAATCCTGAAAAAGGGTCTAGGTGGGGGACAGTTGATAATATTAAATGTTTCCGGTGTAATGAACCTGGACATAAAGCTAGAGACTGTCCCTTGATTGATGAACCTGTGTCCTGAATGCCAACACACCACCCCTTTTAAGGCATACCGCAGTCCTCTGGTACCATTGCCTATAATAGAAATACCTTTTGAAAGGATTGCAATGGACTTGGTAGGTCCTCTGGTAAAGTCTGCAAGGGGGCATCAGCATATATTGGTGATTCTGGATTATGCTACCAAGTACCCGGAAGCAGTACCCCTACGTAACACGTCTGCAAAGACAATAGTGAGAGAACTCATGCTCATGTTTAGCCGGGTGGGCATACCAAAAGAAATTTTGACAGATCAGGGTACACCATTTATGTCTAAAGTTACAAAGGAGTTATGCAAACTACTTCAAATTAAACATCTTAGGACCTCTGTTTATCATCCCCAGACGGACTGGTAGAACAAGACCTTAAAAAGTATGTTAAGGAAAGTAATTGACTAAGATGGTAAGAATTGGGACTGCTTACTACCCTATCTAATGTTCTCCATAAGGGAGGTGCCACAAGCTTCTACGGGCTTCTCTCCTTTTGAGCTTCTATATGCCCATCATCCCAGAGGTCTGCTAGATATAGCAAAAGAAACCTGGGAACAGGAGTCCAATCCGTACCGTAGTGTAATTGAGCACATAGCTCAAATGCAAGATAGGATGGCGGCTGTCATGCCAATAGTTAAAGAACATATGCAGAAAGCCCAAGAGGCCCAGAAAAACAGTTAGAATAAAAATGCCAGACAGAGTTTTTCACCCAGGAGACAGGGTACTTGTTTTGGTCCCTACAGTAGAAAATAAATTTCTAGCATCTTGGCATGGCCCATATGAGGTTATAAAACAGGTTGGGGAAGTTAATTATAAAGTGAGACAACCCAATAGGAGGAAACCCGAGCAAATATATCATATAAATTTACTAAAACCCTGGAAGGACAGAGAGGTCTTAACTACTTAAATTGTCACTAATAAGACTGGTAGTGAACTTGAAGTAAATATACCAGACACCCTGTCCCCCCACCAGAAACAGGAAGTAAGGGAATTTGTTAGAAACCGGGATGTATTTTCTGTAGTTCCGGGCAGGACTAACGTTATCAAGCATGATATTGTTACAGAACCAGGGGTGAAGATAAGTCTTAAACCGTACAGAATCCCAGAAGCACAGAAAGAGGCAGTAGCTGCAGAAATTAAGAAAATGTTAGCTCTTGATATTATTGAGGAATCACAAAGCGAGTGGAACAGCCCTATAGTACTGGTGCCAAAACCTGATGGTTCGTTAAGATTTTGTAATGATTTTCGTAAATTAAATAGTGTGTCAAAGTTTGATGCTTATCCAATGCCTAGGGTTGATGAACTGATAGAGAGACTGGGTAAGGCTCGGTACCGGACTACTTTAGACCTGACAAAGGGTTATTGGCAAGTACCTCTTACAAACAGGGCAAAAGAAAAAAGACCGCTTTTTCGACATCAGGGGGATTAGTCCAATACAAGGTGCTACCATTTGGGTTACATGGGGCCCCTGACACTTTTCAAAGACTGATTGATAGGATTTTGAAGCCTCACAGCCGTTATGCGGCCGCATACTTAGATGACATAGTCATTCACAGTTGTGACTGGGCTTCACATCTTCCCAAAGTGCAGGCAGTACTGGACTCTATCCGCCTAGCTGGTTTAACTGCTAACCCATCTAAGTGTACTATAGGTTTGGAAGAGGCAAAATATCTGGGTTATTCGATTGGGAGAGGACTAGTTAAGCCCCAAACAGCAAAAGTGGAGGCCATACAAAATTGGCCACGCCCCCTCACTAAAAAGCAAGTCAGGACTTTCTTAGGACTTATTGGGTATTACAGGCAATTTATTCCTGGTTTTGCTACATTAGCAGCTCCTTTAACGGATCTCACAAAAGGAAAAGTCCCACTAGTGGTTAAGTGGTCATTAGAGGCAGAAAAATCGTTTGTAACTTTGAAAGAGGCTTTGTGCACCCAACCGGTTCTGGTAACCCCGGATTTCACTAAAGAGTTTATTGTCCAAACCGATGCATCAGAGATTGGGTTAGGGGCGGTTCTGTCTCAGGAAATTCAGGGTGAAGAACACCCAGTGTTTTATTTAAGTAGGAAGCTGACTCCCACTGAGAAAAATTATTCTATAATGGAAAAAGAATGCCTTACCATAAAATGGGGCTAAGACGCATTAAAATATCTGCTGGGTAGAAAATTTAGGTTGGTCACAGACCATGCCTCCTTAACCTGGATGAGTCAAAACAAAGATAATAATGCCAGGGTGACAAGGTGGTTCCTCAGTTTACAACCATTTCATTTTACAGTTGAACATAGGCCGTGTTCTAAACATGGAAATGCTGACAGTTTGTCGCGAGAAAATTTGTTTTCTGTGGTCGTTCACCCCACTAGGTCTGAGCTGGGGGGGAGGATATGTAACAGAGTGTTGGGGATGGTGGTCAGGGGTGTATATCTGGCACCCAGACTTTTGCACAGCCAATATCCTGACATGTGGGTAAGCACATGCAGCCCCAGGGAAAGTGAAGTTTAAATGTAGATTTTTTCCTCTGTTGTTATTTGGGTCCCTGGGGTGGAGTATTCGGAAGAGCAGGGTGGGCCGATTCTCCACCCACTGTCAGAGTGGTTGTGCATGAGTCCAGCCCAGGTCTTCTAAAGAGTTCTGGCTCACTGCCTAACAAGGTCATTAGCCTCACCTGTAGGGGCTGTGAGCAGCTATATAGCTGCAGTTAAAGCAGGGTGGAGTGAGGGAAGTGTTTTGAGGAGAAAGAAGGTTTGCTGTTTATTGTATCCTGTTACTTCATAACAACAGAAAATAAACAGGCGAGAGGCCTTTTTGAAACTGGACTTTGTCTTCACCTGGTTTTCTTACCCTAGAGGGCTGTGCGGTTGCCAAAAGATCCTGGACAAACACACACAGGAAAGTAAGTTTGTCACTATATATATATATATATATATATATATATATATATATATATATATATATATATATATATATATATATATATATATATATATATATATATATATATACCCACCTACACCCATATTTATTAACAATTCACCTTGTGGGCCCTCTTTTACAGGCCTACTCATACGTTGGTTTCGGCACACCTCAACCAACTTTGCTTCTCTTTCTACATTCCATTACGTATTAGATAAATTCAGAGCACAAATATATTATATATATTGGAAAGCTTGGCCTGGAGTTGTGGGCAAGCATAGGCGTGCGCAGCCTATTGCATTAGGGTGTGCACCCTAAAGCACAAGCACAGAGATACCGTAATGTAAGAACTCTGGTAAGCTGAGGGACCTGAACGTTGGTCCGTCAATTAGAGACAAGCCCCTGGGGTCCCACAATGTGACTTTTATTTGAATGATATGAAAGCGAAGTGAGGCCTTAAGGAGAACGTAATCGTAGTGAGTAAGATTAACTGTAGGTTGTCGATGGCGTAGGACTTGGCGAGCTGCAGTAATGACACACGTCTAAGTAATGATATGTAGAAATGAATGACAAAACTTGTACCGTTAAATATAGTAGTAATACGGTGGATTATGATTATAAGATTGTTGTTGACATTTGTGAGGAATCTTAGACCAGGTACGTCTCGAAGTTTAGAACTCACTTTGAGAGGTGGGGGGCTGTATAAGGGCTGGGCAGGCTGAATGAGGCCTCAAGGGAAAACGTAAAATGGTAAACCTTCTTGCCTGTTACCGAAATGCGGGATACTGGGTACCTCTTCTTGGAGCTTTATTGGAAGAAAAATAGAAGTAGTAAAACCCCAAAAACATACGCAGTCTAAGTGTAAGGAACCAGTATATAAGGACTTTTAAGGAACGGAAGTTTTAAATTGTGCTAATGGTCTGTAAAGAGCCTGGTGAAAAAGGACCGTAAGGCTTAACCTATGAGCGGAGAGACCTTAGTTGCGTAGAAGACTAATACATAAGGGAAAGTCCAAAACCAAGTCCCAGCAGGGTAGGCTAATGCCTGGAGGTGTATTTTTTAAACGTAACTGATAAGAGAAAAATGGTCAAACTGTGCTTTAAGAAGATTTACCCTGTAAAAGATAGGAGTCCCATAATTATGTGACCATGGGCGGGAAAATTAGAAACACGTTATTTAACCAGTGGTGACTTTAAGAGCCATGTAATAAATACACATAAATCCAAATAGGATAAATAATGCGAGTGCTTAGTTACATGAAAGCAAACTACGTACAATTACAGTAGATTTGAGAATTTAAACATTGTAGCCTCTTGCTTTCGGTAAACAAATGAACAGGAGAACTGTAATGAGAAAGAACTCCTGTGTTCGGTTAAATGGAGCATACAAACAAATTTTAAACGAAAGCCAATGTATGTGTGTTCGGCTGAACGACCGAATGAAAATAGTCGAACGTAAGTTAGTTTATACGAAAATGTAAGCGACAGGAGTGTGTACTCTGCGGTTGGCTGTTAGCTGCATGAATGCAGAAGTACACGAATGGAGTAAGAGCATGAATGGGTAAGTAATGAAGGGAGCCTATCCTCACGGTTTTAGGGCTGAACGTGGGAAATAGCCGAACGCCATTTCCCACGTTTATGCTAACGTGGATGTGCCGGTCTCATGACCGGAAGCCGGGTAGCGCGCAAGGTTGGGTAGAAGCCGGTGGACGGGCATGGAAGACGGAGGCAGAAGCTGCTGGCAACGGACTGCTTGCTGGAGACAGGACTTGGCGGGAACGACGAACAGGAAGTGCAGGTAACTATGGTGACGAATAGCATGCATGACAAAAGTAAGGGGGGTAGGGTTTATATAGGATCATAACTCCTCCAACAAATTCAGGCCAAATGGCCTTCCAATATCAATATATATATATATATATATATATATATATAGAGAGAGAGAGAGAGAGAGAAGTAGTGATCAGCACTCTCGGGCTTTTGTGAATTAAAACTTACAGTTTATTGAAATTCCATTTAAAAGATCAACGTTTCAGTTCCTGTCTGGAACTTTCATCAGGATCAAACATATGAAACAAGGAAGAACAATACATTTATATACCTCAAGTATTAGTGAAATTAGACAAAAAATGACTTACCCCTATGCTCAGAGTGGTGGGTGTGGTGCCCCTGGCGTCTACCATACCTCCGTGCGCATGCGCGGACGTGGCCCCGTCCCTACGTATCGTGATGACGTCACGCGTTGCTGCGGCAACGCTAGAGTCACATGGGAAGAAAAACCAGGAAGTGACTGGTGGTGAATGACATGTATCTCCAGTTGCTATGGCAACCCGGCTACATAACTAAAACGTTTTAGATTCAATAGACAATCCCAAATACTAATCCAATCATCCTGTTAATAAGAAATATTGAGAGTGAAAGATCTATGTAGATATAAAGTGATACTAGTGTGTATAAAGAGTGCATAGAAAACTATGTGTACTCAATGATATTAATTAATACCCTTATATTGGCAAGTAAATACTGGCCTTAAAGTGCCAATGTGGAATAAAGTGCTAAAGACCAGTACAGTTTATACTGGAAATAAAGTGTATATAGAAAAGTGCTATAGTGATAATAAAGTGCAAACAGTGATATGTTTATTGCTTGAAATATAGAAAGTGCTTACCAGTGCAAATATAATTGAATAACAATTCTATATTAATAGATTATTCCCTAGTATACAAATGTACCAAAACATTAAGTGCTTAAAGTTATAAACTTACACATAATAAAAAACATCATAAAAATCATCATAAAAACAAAATTCCTATTGCTTTTAGGGTCATAATTAAAGAAATGAATGATAAGAAAGCATCTCATTGAGTCCTCCAGGTGCAATCGTGTTCAATTGGAAGATCCACTCTGTCTCTCTATTAAGGAGTATTTTACTGCGATCCCCTCCTCGCCTGGGTATTGGGATATGGTCTATTGCGACAAACTTCAAAGAGGAAAGTGGATGTTTCATTTTAAGAAAGTGTTGTGCCACAGGTTGTTCTGAATGTCCATCCCTTCAGCACAACACTTTCTTAAAATGAAACATCTACTTTGTGTGTGTGTGTGTGTGTGTGTGTTGTGTGTGTGTGTGTATTTTTTTTTTCTCTTCTTTACTCTGAATGTATTTATGTATAATATATAATGAGTTCATTTTATAAATTATAATTCAGCCTGACAACCCAATGTCATCACTTACTGAGGAAGAGAGCAAGGGCACTCTTGGCACCATAATCACTACAGTGGTAACGGATCTTGGAAACCTTCCTTAAAAGCCAGTGTAGAATACATATTTGTGCACTAAATGTATAAGTGAGAAATTAATACAGAACAAAAAAAAAAAAAAGTTAATCCTCAAGGTAACAAAGTGGTACTTTATACGGGGCAACTAAAAAGCAAGTAAAATGCATAATTTAAGGCAGAAATAAAGAAGATTTGGAATTCCTGCTCAAAACACACACAAATTCTTAGCACTATGTTCTAGTTCTGTGTTGCCCTCCATATAGCAACTTGACACTGAATTTCTCAAGTACTGCTCCAAGGAATTCAAAATTGTTTTATGTGGGAGACTACTCTGAGTCATGTGGTGAGGAAGCCAATTTTTACAAAATAAATTTGATTCCTAGTAAACTATCATGAAAATGAAATAAAATGATTCCCTTAAATCTCATGTGTAGGTGGGCACATGGCTAACAGTCTTTCTGTGTAGCTATCAAAGTGAGTGTCTGAGTAGGAGTGTGTTACATAGAAACATAGAATGTGACGGCAGATAAGAACCATTCGGCCATTCTAGTCTGCCCAATTTTCTAAATACTTTCATTAGTCCCTAGCCTTATCTTATAGTTAGGATAGCCTTATGCCTATCTCACGCATGCTTAAACTCCTTTACTGTGTTAACCTCTACCACTTCAGCTGGAAGGCTATTCCATGCATCCACTACCCTCTCAGTGAAGTAATACTTCCTGATATTTTTAAACCTTTGTCCCTCTAATTTAATACTATGTCCTCTTGTTGTGGTAGTTTTTCTTCTTTTAAATATAGTCTCCTCCTTTACTGTGTTGATTCCCTTTATATATTTAAATGTTTCTATCATATCCCCCCTGTCTCGTCTTTCCTCCAAGCTATACATGTTAAGATCCTTTAACCTTTCCTGGTAAGTTTTATCCCGCAATCCATGAACCAGTTTAGTATCCCTTCTCTGAACCCTCTCTAAGGTATCAATATCCTTCTGAAGGTACGGTCTCCAGTACGGTGTACAATACTCCAAGTGAGGTCTCACCAGTGTTCTGTACAATGGCATGAGCACTTCCCTCAAAAGTAACCTTCAGGACCGTATATCGCTTTCCTCTTCTCGCCTAACGGCGTCTTTGAAGGGAGGGTGATGTCAGGGTCACCAGCATGCTATGCACTAATTATGGGTCTTTGAAGGGAGGGTGATGTCAGGGTCACCAGCATGCTATGCGCTAATTATGTGTCTCCTGCATCCCAGTCAGGCACCTTGTCCTTGACTCCACACATCTCTAGTGACATCTGTCAGTGTATAAAAACCAAACGTATTCCTGGCACTATAGTTTTAAAACAACATTTTAGGCCCCGGCCTACACCTTACCTTCGGTTAAGAGTTTACTTACCTTCATCTAGTGCTGCATGGGTATATCGCGGTTGGCTCTGCACACGCTTGTCTGAGATCAAACTCCCCATAGGAAAGCATTGGGAGGCTGCCACACTGCGCCAATCAGCATCTCCTCGTAGAGATGCATTGAATCAATGCTTCTCTCTGAGGAACATTCAGCACCTCCATGCAGGGGGTGGAGAGACTGTGCGGCACTGACCCATGAAGAACCTCTAGTATCCATCTGAGTTACTACCACAAGAGATGTTACTAGCCTGTAATGTAAACATTGTTTCCAGTAAAAAGCCTGCAGGGACAGGCTATAGATCAACATAACATTAAGTTGTAGTTGTGCTGGGGACTATATTCCCCCCTGTTAAGTGTTATCCCTGCACTATATGTCTAAATTTAACCAAAGGGGACAGCAATAGAATCCATATCACACTTTATGAAAATCTGTAGATAGCTATTATCAACTAGCATATTCTTAGTTTACATCTTACATTTGGGGTCTACTGGATGCCACTCTCTTTCAGCACTACTGCCACCAGAGAGCCGGACCCTCTTCTGTTAGTTCTTACGCGTTAAGCCCTGCAGTTCCTGGTTAGCTTGTTGGCTGAAAACATTATCTGATCGCACTTGCTACAAAGCTAATCCCTGTACATCTGGGATTAGCGTAAACAGGGGTCTTTTTCCTATCCCCATGAATCCATCTACCCCAGTCCCTTACAACATCCTCTCACTCCAATTGCTCTAAATAACACCTAGTTAATAAATAACCTTAGAGTCAATTCTTAGGAGTTACATTTAGATAATGAACACTGAAAGGCCTTCTAGGATACAAGCCTAAAGGTTGGATATAAGCCTTTTGCACCCCTCTGTCACAGGTGCCTCATTCCCAGGCCCTAATTAACTATGCACTACAGAGAGTCCTAGGAGGAAGGATTTCACCAGTAGGTGGGTTAATCACATAAGAGCAGGTATTAGGTTACCAAGATAGGACCAGCCAAAATGGGGTACATTGACGTTGTGGCAGGCTTATGCACTATATGATCATACACTGGAACTAAACCCCAAAAATTAGGTGTTAGCTGCCCACTCCCAATCGGTCACTGATGGTTTAAGTTGATAGGGCTATGGCAGACTAACTCCTCCTTAGCCACAATTTCACTGGGAGTTGACCTTTTGGGTGATTCATTCAAAGATATTTAGTGTTAAACCTTGAAAATGATTTAACACTGACCAGGGGATTCCAGACACCAAAATCACTTTAATTAGATGAAGGGTTTATGATACTTTTTGTGTTCTTTTAAAACACCACAGTATATGTAGTTCTTCAACAGCTGATGATTAACATTTGGCCACTACTTCAAAAGCCTACACCAAGATATCTTAATATTTAAATTTGTGGACACGGGGAAAATGAAAATAGGCTGGTCCGGAGTGCAAAGAACGTCCCAAATCACCAATACCCATTGTCAAAATAGCTCAAATGTTGGGAGGCTAGGAAGAGATAAATTACAAACACTGACACGAAATATAAAGGAATACAAATATATACACACAGACACTTATACTGCGTACTCAAGGACACCAACAAAAACACACTGACATTGCATACAACGGGTCAAAAATACTGACAATGCACACGCACAAACTCACACATGTACAGACATTACACACACACACAGAGAATAGTTTCCCCCCTCTTGTCATTGTCAGAAAGAGTAAATTATATGTATCACATTACATGAATCTTTGTTTGTGCCCACTTATTTCCTGCTTGTGTATGTATATAAACCCATAAATAAAGGAGTTAGATACTTCTGTAATAATGCAAGAGTAGGACTTTAAGGGAACACTATAAAGTCAAGAACACAAACATGTATTCCTGACACTAAAGTGTAGTGTCTACCTAAATATATTGACAATCTTACCATTATTGGAGTCTGCTGCTGCTGGCTCTGCACCTGACCTGCCTGACATAATCAGAAGTGTTGATCTGAGCCAATCACAATGCTTTCCTACAGGAAAGCACTGTGATTAGCTAAGACTGTCAAGGAGGCAGATCAGGGGCAGAGCCAGCACTGGCCAATCAGCATCTCTTATAGAGATGCACTGAATCAATGCATCTCTATGAGAAAAAGTTCAGTGTCTCCATGCAGAGGGTGGAGACACTGACTGTCAGTGCTACACACTGTGCAGCACTGCCCAAGAAAGCACTTCTAGTAGCCATCTGAGGAGCGACCCTAGGCTGTAATGTAAACACTGCATTTTCTCTGAAAAGCCAGTGTTTACCGCAAAAAGCCTGAAGGGAATGATTCTACTTCCCAAAACAAATAAAATAAGCTGTAGTTGTTTTGATGACTATTGTATGCCTTTAATAAACCATTTCACAATTGTTTTGCTATTTTAAAGCACAAGCCATGCCTTATCTTATCTGCATGGTTTACAATAATATTTTTATTGCCCTGAAGTTGACACAGTGATTGTCTCTTTTTCCACAAGAATTGTATGATGTGTTTTAAAGGAAGTTTCTAACAATGCTGCAAGATCTTCCCCCTTCCTCCCCTCCACCTCCCCCCCCACCCAAACAAAACAAGACAGTTTCCCTGCTGAATCTCTAAAATAAAATAAACTACATGAAGACTTGATCTATGTTTTTAATATAATCCTGTTGAATCTCAATCTAACCAGCTGACAGTTTTTTTGTTTGTTTTTTAGCAATGCTTAGTGTGCAGGAGACATGCAAGAGTAGTTTTTTTTGTTTTTTTTTTATTGAAAGGGTGAAATCCCTCTCGATGCTAGATTTTTCCATTGTTCACTGCTTCTGATTAGATAAATAAAATAAATGCTTATTCAGTGTATTTATTATTAAATTGTACACTGTGTCTGCAATGCAATTTAATTCTTCTTTTAAAAACACCAAATGTGTGTCTGTTCAGCTAGACAAATTGTACGATGCTCTACATACATAAGGTTTACCCTTCATGTAATATTGTTACATTCAAAATCCCTACTTGTTGTCATTTGGATAATAACAAAGACTAATGTATAGAAGTAGTTATAATTTCTCAACATCCTCTGACTTGTTCTTCAGCCTCCGGAACCATGGGATTTGTTATGGAGGTAAATTCTGCCCCAGTTTTGGGAAACACATTTTGGGTGAGGTATAGATTTGGATTCTTTTACTACAAAAGACTGTTTGCTCATATGGTAACAGTAAAGTATAATAAAGAACATTAATGTCAAGCCATTTATCAGAATTATTTGCACATGTCATTCACCAACAAGGTATTTAGTTATACTAAAGGTTATTTTTTTAAATGGTCAGAAATTAAACATGCAAAGTTCTCACAAAATTATTTCCTGCATTGGGTATACAATATTACATGCTACGCCATGCACTATATCAGACATAAGCAACTTTCGGCACTCCAGATGTTTTGGACTAGACCTCCCATGATGATTTGCCAGCAATATGGATGTAAGAGCATTATGGGAGATATAGTCCACAACATCTGGAGTGCCGAAGGTTGGCTATCCCTGCACTATATCAGAACACTCAAACAAGATTTTTTAAACGCCATTTACATGCATTATAGCTAGACGTTTATATATAGCCTAAAAACACTTCCTGTTAAAATATACCACTTCTGTCAAAATATATTTTTCCACTCACCTAAATTAAAGCATTTTAAATAATAAAAATAAATGTATTTAATACACTTACTCTGTTCCTCAAATGATGCTACACTTCTACAAGAATGCACCTTCATTAGGGTGACTGCTATGTCCTTGCCTTTTCCAGGCTACTTTACAAAACACAAATTTAAAAATATCACAACAACCCTAACATTCAGCCAGGTGAAACATCTACAAATTAAATCTGTCATCAAAAAGAATTATATAGTCAAAACAATTAATGTAATATATCTACTGATATGTAAACAATGTCAGAGACAATACCTTGCACAAACTGTTCATATGCTCAAGGTTTGCAAGAGGGAACATAAATCACAAATACCTACACAAGTAATCAGACACCGCAGTACATTTTGGAAATAAAAATCTCAAAACACACAGGGAGCATTTAAAAGAAAAAGGAAAAAACAAATTTTTTTTTTAAAAAAAAGGGGGGGAAAGGGGGAGGATATGATTACATAATTAAAATAAATACTCCAAGCACCATAACCATTTGGCCCCCTCCTCCAATGTAAGGAGTCAAATGAGTAACAGCTTGATTTCTTCATTGCAGTCTGCCAGGCATCGGACCACAACTCTACTAAGCAGGCAGGGGATTCCATTAATTCAGCTGATCTTGCGAAACTCTATGAACAGAGCTTCCAACACAGGGTAGGAGTGGAGCAGAGCCCAGGAGACCCCAAGAAAGATGTCAAACCAAAACTAAAACATTTTGACCCTTAACATTGGGAAGGAGGGCTGCTTGGGTACACCTGGCAACAAAACCACTACAACACACTGCAGTAGATATGGTATTATGGTGCATGGAGTGTTCCTTTAATGGAAGCCAAGTGCTTTTCAATCAGTACAATTTTCAAAAGAAATCTATTCATTTTATCATAGCTAAACTTTAAAGGAACACTATAGGGTTAAGAGTAAAAAAAAAAAAATCATTCCTAATGGTATAGTGACCTGTTCACTGTTTAGGTTATGTCCCACCTTTGAAGTAAAAAGGTAGATTACATAGCTTTTCTATCTCGTCACAGTATTCTCTCCACAGCCAGGCAATTTTGATGATTTTATTGCTTTTCACGTTCATTCTTATTAACTTATAAAATCTTGGCCATTCCACGGCCAGTTTTTTTATTTTATTTTTTAAAATACATAAATTTGTAAGACTGAGAGACTTGCAGAAGGACAACCAAAATGAAAACACTCCATTATCTGGCCTTGAACAGACAGTGAAAGGAACAATATAGCTACCAAAACAACCTTAGCATAATGAAGCAGTTTGAGTGTAATAATCATGCCTCTGAAGTTACACTGCCATTTAGGAGTTAAATCACTTTTGTTACTGTTTGTGCAGCCCCAGCCACACCTTCTCTGACTTCGATTGACACAGCCTGCGTGAAAACAAAATGGCTTCCTTTAAAAGGTTTTATCTTCTGCTCTGTAAATTGAACTTTAATCACACACAGGAGGCTCCTGCAGGGCCTAGCAATTGCCAGAGTAGGAGATAGCCAATTCTAAATTAAAAGAATTTGCAATAAGTGTAAACATTAGATGACTCTTACAGGAAGTGTTTAGGAAGACTGTGGAAGTCACATGCAGGGAGGTGTGACTAGGGCTGCATAAACAAAGTGAATTAACTCCTAAATGGCAGAGAAATGAGCAGTGAGACTACAGGTGCATGATCTATACAACAAAACTGCTCCATTAAACTAAAAGTTGTTTTTTTGGACTAAAAAGTGTCCCATTTATTTAAAAAAAAAAAAAAAAAACCCCTTATAATGGTTGTTCACCAAAGTGAGAGTTGAAAGTTAATTTTAAATTTAAGGCCAGGGCACATGAACTGGCAGTAAAGCGGCAGTTGAAGTTGATTTTAGTGAGTAAGCCTGTCAGACTGTGAGAAACATGATTGAACCGATTAGCATCAATTCAAAGCATCAAGTCTGTAGGAAACCATGCACTGCTTATCACCTGCGCAATACCATCCCAACAGTGAAGCGTGGTGGTGATAGAATCCAGAGAGCCCTAGACTGGCCAGAAGGTTCAACTTCCAACAGGACAATGACCCTATGCACACAGCCAAGAATGCAAGACAAGATTATTGACAACTCTGTGAAAGTTCTTGAGAGGATCAGACCTTGAACCCAATCAATTGGATTTCTGGAAAGACCTGAAATGACGATTCCCTGACAAAGCTTGAGAAGATCTGCGGTGATTAATAGCAGACACAACCTAAATCCAGGTGCGCAAAGCTTGTCCCATCATATCCAAAAAGACTTGGTGGTTGTAATCACTGCTAAAGGTGTTTTAACCAAGTACTGAGTAAAGGGTCTAAATATCTAATGAATGTACAGTAAGGTTGCAAAATAAAGAAAACATGGAAAATTAAGGAGTATCATGGTTTCTGAATGCACTGTGAATGCTTATATCTTTCATTTCATATTATGCTTTCACATTTAATTCTCTGGCTTTAATTTTTGTCTAGCAATTCTAATATTGTTGGCCATCAGTGGTGTAGATTAAAATTGTGTTTTATTTACATTTGGGAAAAAAAACAAAAACGTGTATTAGATATATATATCTCTTTATGTATGAATTGGGCTGTTGATTAATATACTAAACTATCAGGCAAAAATTGACAAAACACAGAGAGTATCCTATACAGGGAGTGCAGAATTATTAGGCAAGTTGTATTTTTGAGGATTAATTGTATTATTGAACAACAACCATGTTCTCAATGAACCCAAAAAAACTCATTAATATCAAAGCTGAATATTTTTGGAAGTAGTTTTTAGTTTGTTTTTAGTTTTAGCTATGTTAGGGGGATATCTGTGTGTGCAGGTGACTATTACTGTGCATAATTATTAGGCAACTTAACAAACAACAAATATATACCCATTTCAATTATTTATTATTACCAGTGAAACCAATATAACATCTCAACATTCACAAATATACATTTCTGACATTCAAAAACAAAACAAAAACAAATCAGTGACCAATATAGCCACCTTTCTTTGCAAGGACACTCAAAAGCCTGCCATCCATGGATTCTGTCAGTGTTTTGATCTGTTCACCATCAACATTGCGTGCAGCAGCAACCACAGCCTCCCAGACACTGTTCAGAGAGGTGTACTGTTTTCCCTCCTTGTAAATCTCACATTTGATGATGGACCACAGGTTCTCAATGGGGTTCAGATCAGGTGAACAAGGAGGCCATGTCATTAGATTTTCTTCTTTTATACCCTTTCTTGCCAGCCACGCTGTGGAGTACTTGGACGCGTGTGATGGAGCATTGTCCTGCATGAAAATCATGTTTTTCTTGAAGGATGCAGACTTCTTCCTGTACCACTGCTTGAAGAAGGTGTCTTCCAGGAACTGGCAGTAGGACTGGGAGTTGAGCTTGACTCCATCCTCAACCCGAAAAGGCCCCACAAGCTCATCTTTGATGATACCAGCCCAAACCAGTACTCCACCTCCACCTTGCTGGCGTCTGAGTCGGACTGGAGCTCTCTGCCCTTTACCAATCCAGCCACGGGCCCATCCATCTGGCCCATCAAGACTCACTCTCATTTCATCAGTCCATAAAACCTTAGAAAAATCAGTCTTGAGATATTTCTTGGCCCAGTCTTGACGTTTCAGCTTGTGTGTCTTGTTCAGTGGTGGTCGTCTTTCAGCCTTTCTTACCTTGGCCATGTCTCTGAGTATTGCACACCTTGTGCTTTTGGGCACTCCAGTGATGTTGCAGCTCTGAAATATGGCCAAACTGGTGGCAAGTGGCATCGTGGCAGCTGCACGCTTGACTTTTCTCAGTTCATGGGCAGTTATTTTGCGCCTTGGTTTTTCCACACGCTTCTTGCGACCCTGTTGACTATTTTGAATGAAACGCTTGATTGTTCGATGATCACGCTTCAGAAGCTTTGCAATTTTAAGAGTGCTGCATCCCTCTGCAAGATATCTCACTATTTTTGACTTTTCTGAGCCTGTCAAGTCCTTCTTTTGACCCATTTTGCCAAAGGAAAGGAAGTTGCCTAATAATTATGCACACCTGATATAGGGTGTTGATGTCATTAGACCACACCCCTTCTCATTACAGAGATGCACATCACCTAATATGCTTAATTGGTAGTAGGCTTTCGAGCCTATACAGCTTGGAGTAAGACAACATGCATAAAGAGGATGATGTGGTCAAAATACTAATTTGCCTAGTAATTCTGCACTCCCTGTATATGCAGAAGCTGCTCACCAAACAATACAGGAAAGAGTACATAACATATCAGGATTGTATTCCCAGCAGCTCATGTTACATGTGTACATAATGTGTTTGTACATACAATTCCCAGACAATATAGATTTTTCCTTTTTTTGGTAGATACTTTATCTTAGTTTCATGGAAGACAAATCAGCACAATCCATTTAACTAAACAGATTGTCCCCAATTGCAAAATCAATCCAGTGCTCTGAAAACAACCCCTCTTTGAACAAAATGTCATGGCTTAAGCAAGGTAGAAGTGACAAGCAGATAGCTGGAGACGATTATGCCAAACATTGATTAGGGCATCCTTGCGAAGGGCAAGGATCAACCATTTCAACAAGCTTTCAATTTCTTGACTATATGAGCATGGACTGCAAATAAAAGAAGAAATAGGATAATTGAGAAAAACATGTTTTCTATAGATCTATCTAACAAAGTAAACAAGTAGCCAAACAGGACTTACAAGACATGACAGACAAGGAAGCCTTTAGGCTGACTCTAGTAAAGGGAAGATCTGAAATCTTGTACAAGCTGCACTTGGTTGCAGAAACCATAAATATTTGTCACCTGGATATAAAAAGTGGAGCGAGCATGAATCACAGGATAAACAAAGCCCAAGATAAACTAGGATAAAATATTCGGTAAAACATTGGACAAGGCAGGACAAAAATGGAGCAGGACAATTAACAGATAGTCCAATGCAAAATCTATAAAACAAAGTAGGGGGTATAATGTCTTATGCACAAGCCACTGGCAAGAGGATGAGCTTTGAACGGCTTTCAAGTCCTGCATCTGATTTCACATACACAAGAAAATCTAAAGACGATTCAGCTGTCTCACAAGGATAGAGTGCTTTTATAATCTGATCCTTTGCTCCACATGCCTTGAGTTGAAGAAGAAACTGAATCAGGTGGTCGAGGTGCTAAGGAAAAAACTTCAAGGCAGTAAACTTGCCTTTCTCCTGTCAACATAGGTACCACCAATCAACATGTCACCTTGTCCCGGGAAAAGATAAATTGCGAAAAGTTTGTAAACCGAAACGTGGTTTCCCATAGGAATGCATTGAAAACCGAATAATCCGTTCTGGAGGTCAGAAAACAGTCAAAATGAGCTGGCATGGAAACCAACCCACAATGCAGAACACACAAAAAAAGACATGCAAACGACTAAGCTCAGCTCCATACCTTTTCACAGCTTGAGAAGTGCACCATTAAGTCCCAAAACAACTGCAAACAGTTTCCAGAATGGCTCCAAAACGTGATACAAAAGCCACTCCAACACCTCCACACTCGACGCCACGTGCTACCCACAGGCTTCAGCATGCAGGGAGCGGTGCTATAAACCTCCCAGGTGCAATGCATCCTGGGGAAACTTGCTTTGTATTGCAAAAAAAAAAATTGTAAACCGAGGCATTATTTTCAATGGATTTTCATTTGTAAGCTGAGGTCCCACTGTATTTGCAGAGCATGGTGATTGCCAAGCATTTGTGTGTCCTCAATGCTTTTCTATTAGCATGACTGGATTGGACAAAATGTGGATTGTCTGTAAGAAGTAGTACATTTCAGTACTGGATTGCAGGTATGTTTTAATGGCCTTGTTTGCGTTTTATGTTTTAATAAAAGGAAGTCCTAAAGCGATAGTAAGAAACGCAACTAGCTTACAAAAATAATCTACTTTAACGTTACACTTTTCCTTTAAAAAGACACTTCAAATCCCTAAAGCACTTAACCTTGCTAGAGTGCTTTATGTGTGAAGAGTTTTTCCTTTTTTTCCTCATTTTACAAAAACTGTGGCTTTCAAAAGAAATGAACCTTGTTTCACCCCTTTTGCTGTCAGACAACCCGCCCTGTTACTTCAGGCATTATTTAACTCAGTGGAGCTAAACAGCAATTGCCCAGAGCACCTGACTTGCAAAGGCTTCTCATTTGACATACACAGAAAGTCTGATCTGAGAAAGAACAGGAGAGTTTGTAATGGCTTCAGACAAGATATCTGCAAATTTTGCAAGCTGTTTTTTGATATACCACTAATGAAAAAAAAAAAAAAAAGAGCTTTATTACATGCATGTTTTCATTGGGTGTATATCTACTAAGTAGTTGTATTTTATTTAGTTGGGCAGTGTCCCTTTAATGAATAAACCCTTGTGAGTCTTTCATGATTTGATATAAAGGATTTACTAGAATCCTTCAATAATCCCCACCTTAAGTTAACTAAACAGAACACTGAAAATTAAATTTAAAAAGCATAAAGTGATAAAAATTGTCTATTCAGTATCTCTCTCTACAGGGTGGCCCATAAATCCCTACCTTTCCAGCACACAGCTACATTGGATACATAAGATATATATGGATAGGTATGGACTTACGGGCCACCCTGTATATATTTTTTTTTTTTAATTGTTGTACAAACTTATTTTTCACAATACTCTGCAGTCTCTCCAATAATGAACTGAGAACTATTGAGAATTTTTGTCGCTAAACAGTCAACTGTTGCAAACAGAAACCCAAATTGCAAAATTTAGGCTTAAGTAGCCAAGCTATTACTAGAAAAGAAAGTTGTCTTTCGGACTGGAGCCCGTACACTATACATATCGGGTGCTATATGTAATATGTGTTGTAAGCAGGGGCCTTTTAGCCGTGAGGCAAACAAGGCATTTGCCTTGGGCGGCATTTTCCAGGGGGCGGCAAAAACTCCCAGGGAAAATGCCTTGTTAGCCTCGCGGCTAACAGACATGCCGGGCGGACTAGGGAGCACTTTTTCTGAGCGATCTGCTCAGCTCCCTCGCGCTCCACAGAGTGAGGCTGGGAGCCGGAATATGACGTCATATTCCGGCTCCCAGCCTCACTCTGCGGCGCGCGAGGGAGCTGAACAGACAGCTCAGAGGAAGTGCTCCCTCACCAGCCAGCGCCCCCCGACCGCCCAGCAGCCACTGCACCCCCAGGAAGAGAAGGAACCCTATATTTAGAAGGCAGGCGGGGGGGGGAAGGGTTGGGTCGGGCATCTGAGTTTTGTCCTGCCTAGGGCAGCACAAAACCAGGATACACCAATGGTTGTAAGAGATGTTTGTATACTTTTTGTATTATGCCAATTTCTTTTTTGCTCATTATGTACTGGGTTACCCAATTGTACATGTTTGTGGATGTCCATCATGGCAAAAATAAAGAATTTAAAAAAATTTAAAAAAATTTAAAAAAAAAGAAGTCCACTGCTTGTTTTTTTTTTTTTGCTGCAAAGCATTCATAGAAACAATTTTAATACCATATACTTGTTTTTCGTTAACAGAGTTTAAAAAGTTAGGCAGTATAGCATAGGGATAATTTATGCACAAACTATTTGAAACTGACCTTTTAAAATTGTAATTATGTTTTAATAGAATGATTTTTGTCTATATATTTCTGAAATAATGTAAACTTAATTATGGATGCATTATTATTGGCATTTATGTAGCACCAACTTATATAAATATATACGTAAGGTAGTTTTTAATCTAACTGCTCTATTAATTTTTCAAAGTTAAGCTTGACATTCCTTTTGGAAGGAAAAAGGCTCTTTCACAATTGTTAAAATTGATAAATCGAATGGAAATAGCATGCAAGACTGCACTGCATGTGAAGTTGCCAATCAACAGATTTAAATTAACCGTATCAACCTCGCAATCAAATACACGCTAACTGTACCATATAGACTTATTTACATACCACATTAAAACCCATTGTGAACACTATGATTCTCTGTATCTCCTGCTGCAAAATTCAGTGGTACTGTATAAAAAGGGAATTCTAAAAATAAAAAATGAACACTAACCCATGCATTTTTTAAGCAACTATATATTCCTTGCCCAGCAAAGGCCCTCAATAGCAGGTGCTCCAACCTAATAATGTATATTGGCCCCCTGTCTCCATCTCATGGTGTGAGTTAAATCCATCATCACAGCTTATTATCAAGGCTGCAGAGCAACTGAGTGCTCCCTTCTCCCAAACTGATAACCCACACCCAGAACAGAGCCACAGCACCGTTTAATATTGCTAGAAGGACATGAGCATTAACCATGGGGGTCCAGAAGATCCCATATATCAGGGAGTTTGACATATAGGTTGCCAGACTGTGTTGATGAATGCCTGGCTCCCTGGTATAGAGCTACTGTCTGCATTGAGACCCTCAGGCCCCCTTACTTGCTGTTGATATCAGTAAGCTCCCAGCATTCAACGCGGTCAGTATAAAGCGGCTCGGACACTCACTTGTCATACAGTGCGGGTCACGGGAGGTTCACTCCCCACCACTGCAGTTATGATCACGACCCCACAGAATCACTTGCTTGTATTTGGCTCGTACCACTCAGCAATAGGGGTGGGAGGAAAAAAAAAAGAAAAAGGGCCGGCCTCCCTCCCGTTCCGCTTCTGGTTCCCGGTTGTAACATCTACTGGTCCTATAAGGAAGGGGGGAATTGTTAGCCTGACCTGATTACGAGCTCCGCTCGCTGCAACGCGCCGTCCGCGAGAGCCATGAATACAATGTGAAGGCAGAACTACAACTCCCAGCACCACCAGCGAACGTTCAAATTAGCAAAGCTTTATACAGAGAGAAACAAATACATTCAAATTCAGGGAAGGAACTGTTGAATTTTTTGGAAATGAAAAATTAAATGAGAGTTAAAAAATAAAAAAAATGCACTTTGGCAATTTCTGCCTGGTTTGCTACTTTCAATTGTGTATTACCTGACCACATTCAAAACACACATAATGTGATTGAGATCAAATGTTTTAAATACTCACATGTGCTTCTATCTAGCAGAGCAGTACTGTATGTGAATAGCTCATAATCATTCAGAAGGATTTATTTGTTTATGTGCTACAGGTAACCACCTATTGCCTTTGCAATGCTGTCATAATACTCCTGTTTATGTACAGTATTGGTGAAATACCGGAAAGCAGGAATTTTATAATCATATAGTTCAGTAATTTATCTTGTAGCATTTCTTATAGCTGTAAAAAACCAAGTAAACAAGTTACTTGCGCACTATCGCAAATGACTACGCACATTTAAAAGGACAAAAACTAATTATTCCACGTATAGCACCTGCAAATGGTCCTTGGTCTACCCTACAAATTGATTTTATTGGACCATTACCAGCAGGTAAGAATGGGTTAAAGTATGCGTTGGTAGTTGTGGATGTATTATCAAAATGGTTGCAAGTTATTCCACTAACAAGATGATTCCCAATGGACATACATTTTCTCAAGATGGGAATTTCCTAAACTTTTTGATGCACGCATTGTGTGCTATTTTAGGAATAAAACTAAGATTTAATGTTCCATATCATCCACAATCTGCTGATATAGTGAAACGTAGGAATCAAGCATTGAAATCCAGACTTTCAAAAAGGTTACGTGAGAAAGGCAATACCTGGGTACATGCACTTCCTGCTGTACTTATGGGTATTAGAGGTATGACATCATCAACTACATGATATACTCCATTTGAATTGATCACATGCAAAAAAATGCAGCTGAAATTTCCTAATTAGCCATACTTTTCAACAGAAAGATTCGATAGCTAAAAATAAATGGATGCAGATACTGCAGGAATATTTGGAGGAAATCCTTCCACATGCAGGTATTTGTATGTGCAAAATAGCAACTTCTGATTTTTAAAAAATTTTAAACCCAGGTAGGGTCATGATATCTTTGAGGAAACCAATACCTTGGGAAGCAAATTGGGAAGGTCCTTATCAGTGGCGTACTAAGGGAGAGGCGGAGGGTGCCACTTAGTAAGGGAGAGCATTTTCATGCCACTTGCAGGTGTCTCCACATCCTGCAGCATCATGTCCTCTGATCTCACGATCCGCGAGAGCGTTGTTATGCTATGGCAACCCGTGGCAACACTCACAGATTGTGAGAACAGAGGTCATGCTGCTGCTGGATGTGGAGACTCCTGGGCCCCTCTTCACTGGGCAACCATACTGTGCCACTGGACCACCAAGGAATGTAGTGTGCCCCCCCTGGAAACAGGTAAGAGTCAGGGGGGGGGGGGTGTGGGGAACCACACACAACCAACACACACTGCTCACTATACACTCATTATAGACACACACACTATACACACACACACAAACTACACAAACACACACTACATACAATAAACACACACACTTATACCCGTGTGTCTGTGTATCTGTATGTGTAGAAAAGAAAAAGAGTAAGGAGAGCTCCTCCCGTAACGCAACGGAAGGACTCTTCCTACTCAAGCTACCCCGTAGAAAATGTCTAATTACACAGGCTAATATAATTAAATTAAAGAAGGCTTAACTGTGAATATATATGTATCATCAGTAACACATAGAATTGAATTAATTAGACAGCCCACAAAATAGAAGTGTATATAAACTGGGTAATACCAGCCATCAGTAACAATTAGCTCAACCTGTGAGGGTTTGAGACAGAGTTATCACATTTGTAACAAACGTAGCAATTGAGTCATGTGAACAATGTATCAGTGTACAGTCACAGGTCTGAAAAAATGTGAATAAATATCACAAAATTAATGTGCTGTGTCATACTACATAAACAGAAGGTGGCACCAAAAAGTTCCCCTACAGATCAAAAAATAAGTAAATATTCAAAAATACCCCCTCAACAAATAAATCTTAAAGTAAGAAATCGATAGAACAGAGGAGAGGGTATAGTAGAAAATAAAGAGTAGAGGGAAAGAAAGAAAGAGATACACAGGGAAGTCCCAAGTAGTATAAAACAAAGGGACATTTCCACTGTGGGTACCCCTAAAATACAAGTCTATTAAAACGAAACAAAAGAATGGGATGCTGCAAAAATTAGTATAGCAGCATTAAAGTAAATAAGTAGCCCAACGCGCGTTTCGGCAGGTTAACCGCCTTTCTCAAGGGCATATAGTGTAACAAGAAAGGTCCCCCCTTCCTCACTCACCCATTATAAAGGACATCCCCCCTCCTCCTGAAACGTGGAACAATCAATCAGCGAATCCAAAGTATCACTCAATCTACCATTCGAATGGGGAGTACTACCGAGCGCTGAAAGGTCCAAAAAAGGAGGAGGCAAAAGTCTGCGCATGCGCGAGGACTTAGTATATATAGTGAACGCTCATCCAGAGTGAGGAGGCAAAAGTCCGCGCATGCGCGAGGACTTAGTAAATGTACTGAACGCTTGTTCAAAGTGAAAGATGAACTCCATACATTGGTTAAAGGCATAAAGAATCGTACTACACTAAGGGTACACACTTCAAATAAAGTATTATACCTATATCAAGTAGGATGTAATCCACATTATAACAACTCAATAACCACATCTAGAATTTATAATAACAGGGTCTAGATTAAATGAGGATATACATGTATATCAAAACAGTACCCAAGTTACTAAATCTAAACCCACTACTTCAGCTCACTGGTATAGTGGATGTAATAGAAGACCCATTCGAAAAAATTTAAACTCTATATTCAAGTTGGTATATCCAGTGTGGATCGTCTGTCACATTATCAGGTGAATAATTATTAAACTCTGGAATAAACCATACAACAAACTATATATAGGTTGCATATAGAGCAGGAGATAAAAAAAAAGGAGGAGGTAGGGGGGAGAGGTAAGGAAATTCAAAAATTCCAAAGTAGCCTTAAATTCAAAGTAATAAGCCTAGACAGTATATACAAGTGATCCACTGCATAATTATTAAGGTATTAGTTGTAAATGGCAGGTAAAATAAATAAATAAACATTCAATAAACATTCAATAGAGTCAAAAGACAGCATCCAGGTGACTCATAGACCAATACATTGACCTATAGGTGATTAAATGAAGGGTGCAAATGAGAAACCTTCATTCAAACCCAAAGGCTGGAGGGTCCTCAGTTCATATATCCACCTAGACTCCCTCTGTCTTAAGAACTTATCAAAATCTCCACGCCTTGGGTTTCTCTTTACTAGTTCTAGTCCACAGAAACAGAGATTATTAGAGTCACCATGATGATGTTCTTTCAAATGTCTAGAGATGGGTGTCTCTAAACGATTTCTGGTAGACCTTACATGTTCCATAATTCTCTCTCTGAAGGCCCTGAACGTTTTGTCCACGTATTTACGTCCACATGAACATGTCAGCAAATAGACAAGGCCCTTTGTGCTGCAATTGAAAAAACTCTTAATCTTAAAGGAGCCCCGTCCTGTGCTGTCACTGACTATCTTACAGCCTTTAGAGATGTACTTACAAGCAACACACCTTCCACAACCATAGGTGCCACAAGGAGGAGTTCCCAGCCAAGTGGGACGTACTTTCGGTTTCATGGTGAAGTGGTTTGATACCAGCAGATCTCGAATATTATGTCCACGTCTGGCTGTAATGTTAACACGTGGGCCAAGGACCTCTTTGAGGTGTGTGTCATTCAGAAGAATAGGCCAGAATCTATCAAGGGACTTCCGTACTTCTGACCAACCTGCATCGAATGACGCAATCATGCGGATGGTTCCTGTCTCACCCGCCACTTTCCTAGCTGAATCGTCACATAATAATTCTTCCCTATTGGTTTGAATTGCTCTTTTGTATGCTTTCTTAAGACAGCGGTTAGGGTAGCCTTTTTCTTTAAAATGTAACCTCAGTTGTTTTGCTTTTGTTCTAAAGTCTTCAATATCACTACAATTTCTCCGAAGACGGAGGTACTGGCCGACCGGGATGCCCTCCTTAAGAGCTCGTGGATGATGACTCCTCCAGTGCAGGAGGGAATTAGTAGCTGTCTGTTTCCTAAATAAAGTAGGTTGAAATGTGCCATCATCTCTGATGTTAATTGTCACGTCTAAGAAATTAATAGAACGTCCTCCGAACTCAGAAGTGAACCGGAGGTTTTCATCGTTCTGATTGAGTAATGTTACCAAATTAGAAAATTCCTGAGGGGTACCTTGCCACACAATTAGGATATCATCAATGTAGCGACCCCACCATAGAATCATTGGTAAATACTCTGTCAGAGCCTCTGAGGTACGAATATGATGTTCCCACCAACCCAGGTGGAGGTTCGCATACAAGGGTGGACAAAGTGTCCCCATGGCGCTACCCCTCACCTGGTGGTATACTTTGCCATTGAATAGAAAGTAATTGTGTGATAGAATAAACTTAAGTAGGCGTAGAACGAAATTAGTATACGGATCGTCCCTATAGATACCTTAGTTAAGGAAGAATTCCACATGTTTTATTCCCTTGTCATGGGGAATAGAGGAATAAAGTGACTCAACATCTAAACTGCATAGTTGAGCAGTGGGAGGAAATTTAAGGGTCGATAGAAACCTGAGGGCTTGCTTTGTGTCCCTGATATAGGAGGGTAACCTTTCAACACAAGGTCTCAATACTTTGTCTATATATAGACTGCCATTTTGTGTAAGGTTGTCTACCCCTGAGACAATCGGACGCCCGGGGGGTTCCCCAGGTTCTTATGAACTTTAGGCAGGCAGTAGAAGGTTGCTATTTTAGGGTGACGGTTAAGAATAAATGCATACTCGTCACCTGACAGCAACCATCCACTGCGGCCTTCGTCCAATATCTCCTTGTATTTACAGAGAAATTCATCCGTAGGATCATATTTAAGCACTCTGTATGTCTTAGTGTCCTTTAACACACGTTCTGCCATCCCAAGGT